TTCAGTGCCGTTGTCGCACCAAACGATGCCCTCGCCCTAGCAAAGGCTCAAATCGGCATGCTTGCCATGCTTGGCGAATGGAGCAAACACAGCGAAGACACATCACCCGCACCAGTCCTAACCTCCTCTCCCACACCTGAGGAAGTAGCAGCCATCACCCGCCGTATGTACGAGAAGAGCGAGCACCGTCGCAAACTCGGCATGATGACCCGCAAGATTGTCCAGAAGTCCTTCAGTGGCGATCGGTACCTCCGTGAGCACGAGCAGATGTTGTGGATTGGCAAGTCCGCCAAGATGATGGCCAGCCGCGCAGCTGGCGACCCGATCGAGCCAGCCGACGTGGCGGCAGCCATTGAGACTGGCATCGATGAAGAGATCATCACCATCCCACGCGGCGCGGTGCACTCCTGGCGCTCTTCTGCCCAATCCGGTATATCCACGATATACAGCTCTGCGTCCCAGTTACCTGGTCATGGCGGCCACCACCGTCCCATGTCTGATATCTCGGCTATGAGCATGAGTATGAACAATCTCTCTACCGAGTCCTTCGCTCGTCTGCCTGTCTTTGCACCAAGGCCTACCGCGATGTCCAACGGCAGCTCCCCGTATACTAGGTCACCCGCATGGACCTTCAACCACCAGTTGTCTCTGCCGAGTGCCCATCCTCACCCCCACTCTCGTTCTGGGTCCTACTCGCGCTCCGTCTCAACTGCCGGTCGGGAACAGCTACGGGGCTTGCAACGTGAAGACTACCTTCCGTACCGAAATTCTGATATCAGTGTCGCGAACAGAGATGACTTCATCCGGGCTGGCGGGCTTACTCCTAATCACGCGTCTTGATTTGCGCTTTAAACTCCCGCCCTCCTTACTACTTCCCTACTTGCACATACTGCACTCATGTATATTTTTCTCGCTGCATTTTGTTCATACTTGCATTATTCGGTGTCTGACTTGGTTTCTTTTAAAAAGTCCTCTGTTGGTATGTTTTGTCTGATCCTTTTATACCAGTTTTGTTGTTTTGACATGTCGAGAAATTGTGGCATACATTAGCGACTACAGCCTTTTTATCCTATGTTCTTAGCATTAATAATAAGAATGTATTGAATTATAATATGCATCCATTGGTCCCTAGATCTATATATATCTAGCAGAATAGGATCGACCCAAACATCGTGTAGATAATTCCAAAACAAATGTATTTACCCCGAAAAGCCAAAAAAAAAAAAAAAAAAAAACACAAGTCGATGAACAGCCCGAGATCCTGCATCACGTCGACTCCTGTGGTTTCGGACTCGTGGTCCGATGCCATTCACCATTGAACGCATTGATGAGCCAGCTCGAAAGACCTTGATTCATAATTAGGCGTGTCCTTTTCCAACCTTGGGAAGCCATGAAATGGAAGGGAATGAGAAATCGACTTACGTTCATAAACAAGCGCATGCGCCATATGGAATTGTATGCTATGATCCGAGTCGGGGAAGACCTGCATATCGTAGTTGTCGATGTTCTTCAAATCCAGCTTGTCGATCAACACAAGGGTATTTTGGAGATGAACATTGTCGTCGGCGACACCGTGCATGATCAAAAACCGAACACTGTGGCCTAGGGCCATAACATCACTGATAGAGGCATTTGCATAACCTGAGGGGTTGTGCTCGGGTGTATGCATATAACGTTCTGTATAGATAGAGTCTGTGAAGGAGTAGCATGTTAGGATGCGCATGTACGAAAAAAAAACAGACCATTGGTATGTAATTTAGATGAGCTTACCATAGAACCTCCAATCAGTGACGGGTGCCACAGCCATGCCATATTGGAATGTCTCGCCTGCGTCTTGTTCAAGGACCTTCAGGGTCATGTAGCCACCGTAGCTCCAGCCCCAAACTGCCATGCGGCTTTCATCCACGTAACTCTTGCTAGCCCAGATCTTGGCTGTCTCAATCTGATCGAGAGCTTCGTAGTGGCCGAGATTACCACGAACAATGCATCGAGCTTCTCTTCCGATGAAACCGGTTCCCCGACCATCCACAGTGACGACAATATAACCCAGGCTCGAGGCGACATAGGTCTGGAAGTCAATTGTGAACCTGCGGTCGACCGTTTGCGATCCTGGTCCACCATATAGGAAGAAAAGCACAGGGTATTTCTTTGCAGGGTCGAAATTTGGAGGACGGCGTTCCAGAACTTGGAGCGTGTAACCATCGATGGTTACATTGGTGTACACCTCTGTTGGGAGAGCGAAATCTTCCACCATCTTGGAGAGTTCAACATTCTCCTCGATGAGGTTTAGGAAGTCAATTTCGTCGCCTTGGGTGTTGATCACAGCCTGCCACGGCACTTCTGGGCCTTTATAGCTGAGTAAACCATAGCCGGCTCCGTGAGAAAATGAAACATCGAAAAATCCGGGTGCAGATACATCCGTCAGAGGTCGAAGATCGGACCCATCCAATTTGACCGAGTATACGTGACGCTGAGTTGGAGCTTCCTTTGTGGCAACAAAGTATACCAGACCCTTCTTCAGGTCAACAGCGGACGGTGCCTTGACAACTTCCCAATTGCCCTTGGTCAGCATCACAGGCTCTGGGTTATCGAAAGGTGTGAAATAAGCCAAGTGATCATAACCTTCATAAATAATGGTGTCAATATAACCATCGTGTGGTCGACCATTTTTGGGGTCAGCAGGAACAACCCGAGTCGACTGCGAAGGTTCAACCCAACCACCGTCCAAAGCTGCGATATCATCAGACCGCACCAGTTTACCAGTTCGGGCCTTTGTGTCCATAACAAAGATCTTTACAACATCGCTTTCGCGGTTGGTCTCTCGGATCAAAACCTTACCCTCGGACGCCCAGACAATCTCGATGATAATTCTTTCAGTGTCAACAAAGTCCTCTGGCATCTCAAATGAGAAAACTTCATTCTTCTCGACATCATAGAACTGCAAGTTGACAATCGGATTTGGACTGCCGGGTTTCGGGTATTTGATCTGCCTGACTTCGGGGTAATTTTCAAGTCCGGGTGGTGGCTCTTTGCCAGATGGCCGTGAAAGGAAGTATTGAATAGGATATTCAGGAACTGCTGTCTCGTTTGTTCGAAGGAATGCGACAAACTTCCCGTCATCAGACCACCAGGTGCCGGTGTTGCCTGCAAACACTTCTTCCTCGTACACCCAGTCTGGAACACCATAGAAGAGGTTCTCGTTGCCATCCTTGGTTATGGGGGTGACCTCCAAAGATGCCAACTTACGCAAATATAGGTTGTTCTCACGAACAAACACAACTCCATCCGAGGTTGGCGACCAAGTTGCAAGCTGTACACGTCCACTCAGGTTCCCAGGATCCAGCGGCTCGGCCTTCTGCGTCGCCACATCAAAAATCCAATACTTCCCAAAATACGAGTGTCTCCAATTGGACTGGATGTCAGTCATGACCAAGACCTTATTCATATCAGGACTTGGCCACGTCTTGGCCGGTATTATAGCCTCTCCCTCAAACCAGATATACGCCTTCTTCATCAACACTCTGGTGTCGAGATTATCGACACCATCCTTACTACTGCGGATGTCTTTCACCCGCAAAAAAGCGTCTTGTTTCTCGCCCCGCTCAACCAGAAGGCCATCCTCGCCGTCCGGGCCTGCAATCCAGGAGATCGCATGGGATCTCGGAGACCAGGTACCACTCAAGACTTGCTCGAGTGTTACTGGTTTCCCGTGGCTCTGAATACCGGGGGCCGAGCCTGGTTCATGGATCTCCACGGTTGGTTCATAGATCTCCGCGGTTGATGCAGACGAGAGTGCCGCGGTATCGGGTCGTTTCTGTGTGAGGAACAGTACGAAGGCAAGCACCCAGCCACCGACACAGAGCAACACCAGTAACCAGATAATCTGGCGCAGGCGACTGGACGAGCTTGCTTTCTTTCCGCTTGATAAGAGAGGTTCATCTGAGCCAGTTTCCCCTTCGTCTTCAATGTCCCGGTATCTGTCCCCATTCCCTCCCTCTATCAGCATTGTGTTGCCCCCCTTGTGGTTCTTCATAAATGATTCGGAGGCGATCGACAGGCCGGAGTCGGTGGATGTTTGTGAGGCGACGGATTCCGACCTTTGTCGATTCAATGGTACGGACTCTGAGTCCCTTTCATCTTCGAACTTCCCCATGGTGGTTGTTGATCGGAGTTCGCTGCGGAGCTGACGTCCCGATCGTCACGTTATCTCTTATCGCCCACAATTCGACGTCGGAGGCGGGCAAGCGCCAGCAATCACTGTCTTGACGATAATAGGTCTTTATGTGTATATATAGAGCTGCCAAATTACTAGGACAGTGTATGAAAAAGTAGAGAAGACTTGGTCGGGAGCTTTTAATGTCGGGGGATCTTGTGAAGCGAGCCGATCTGGTCTCTTGGCGCGAACAAAGGGTTATTGATGTCTTTAGCTTCAAATCCATATCCTTATTCATTTCCATTTTGGGTTTTAACATTGACAGTGATTGGTTTACTTCTTACACACTAGCTTTATTGCTAATGTGTACACTGTTCATGGGATTATTGGTTGTGCATCAGAGCAATTGGTCAGACACTTGCCCTGTTTATTTCAAGTGCATATGCAGGTGTTAGTTGTATCGAGCTATACTATTATTTGTAAAAGAATATATGGCAGACTTGCCCTTTATATAATGGATAGCCGGAAGCCCTCAAGGAATATAATCCCATAGAAAATATAAAAACATGCATCCACCAACGAAGATGTTGAGTTTCCAGTGTTGACTCTCCATCTGATTCCATTCTCTCAATTTGTTCGAGACTCGTGCACTTTATTAGACTCAAAATGCGCAATATTTCTAAATAACCCCCGGGGTATAGACTGGATAATGTCTGGCGGGTGGGGCTTTCCTATCTCGGCCGCTGCTGCTTTTACATATGAGGGCGCTCAGGCTCAGGCTCAATGAGTAAATGTCAGCACGGGCTTAGGCTAAGTGATCAATCCAGGAGAGTCATGTAATAAATGACTAATGCTTAGTGATCGTTCTATTAGAAGCGATATATGTTGATGGCATAGGCATCATGGTGTGCTGGGAGAAAGGACCCAAGGAGAAGTGGGAGGGGACGAAGGTAAATCTTGGGGTACTAGATTCGCCCTCAGGAAACTCCTGGCGTTGCACGCCAGCATTTGTACGTCGAAGATTCTGCTGCAGTGCCTCAGGATCTTCCTCAAAGCGCTCACCCTTGCCGTGGTCTAGAATACCGAGGCGCTTAAGCAAGTAGTGAATGAGAGGGTGGCCATTAGGGTGTAGTTTCATATGGTCAGTCGGCCAGCCTTCGCCTTCGACGATACGTCGGTAGAGTTCCTGGAGGCCCTGGACCAGCCAAGCTTGTTGCTGCTCGAGCATTTCAACATATCTAGAAGAAAGATTTGGTTAGCATGAGCAGTTCTTAGGTATTCTAAGAAAGCTAGTATTCAACTCACCCCTTAGGATAAATTTTATCATGCGCCTTTTTGCTTTTTCCAAAAATGCATATAGTGTTGGCTGCTCGACATTGTGAACAGGGAACAGATTTGTCGCACTATCCAGGCCGTTCAGAGCATGTCGGACGATTACTCACCTGATTCCACATGCCTTGGACTTCTTAAGGCGACACCGATCACATGCCTTGCATACTCTCTTCCGACGATTACTGCTTGAATACAAGGGCTCAGATATTGTCGATCAGCACTCTGTCATGATGACTTGTGTCAGAAGTAAGAAGATAAAGAGGATGATAGAGAAAAAAAAAGGGTATATAGTCTAGGAAGCGTCAGGGGTCAGACGCTAGCTAGTTCAGTGATAGGCTTCTAGACTTGGACAGTACTGTAACCGATCAACATTAATGGGGCTCAGCTGTATAACTATGACGAGTAATCAGGAGCTGCCTAATCAAATATATGTCAGCGGAGGGAATCCGAGGAAAGAAGAGCTGGGCTCCTAATAGGCAGATGCGGGTATGAATCCCTAAGTTTCACCGTGAGCCTAGAGCAGAATTATCATCCAAGATTAATAATCCAGCCGCTTCATCATTTCAGCGCGTCTATGCGATCTCGTTTCTCCATGGGATTACTACTCAAGATGAATATTCTCAACCGCTCCTCAGAGTTACGTTGATAATGGAATGTGGCGGGTGCATAGGTCTTCAACGTTTGGGAGGATTACTGGCGAAACGAGAGGAATGGTAGATTCCAGTGCGTATCTCCTTTACCACTCATAGAAATTTCCTCATACCATCATCGTCATACTACCAGCAAGAGGCTTATTCTAACTTGTCAAGACCAATCTTGGTCAGTAATAAAAATGAGCTTCACACGCTTCATTACCGGACAAGACTGTATATCAATCCTGCACCCTCCTATGAGGTCCTTGCACTTACCCGCTCAAGCTCTGACGTACAAATAGGCCATGCTTGGCTTCTATTGATTAGTCCTCCTCCTTTCGGTCAAGATTTGTAATCACACTGAAGGTGGTGAGTGTTCGTCACGGTTAAGTCCCCTTTGTCGGATGTATAAATAATGGTGGGTATGCCGACGACAATGTGTAACCAAGTCACCAAGCTTATCCCTCAATCGCTCTCTGGCTGTCAAAGAGTCCTTTTTTTCAAACCATGCCATCCTTTCTCGTGAATGGTCGATTTCCTACCATCAACAATTTCACCTCCCAGGATGTGACAAGTGATGAAAGGGCAGCTGCCGTCGACTTTGTCAATCGCCATAACTTTGTTTTTGAAGAGTTCGACCATGCAATGATGGCTGCTACCTTTCTCCCTGATGCTGTGGTTTATCACAGTCACGGGACAATTAGCGGTCTTGCCGAAATGAAACGATTTTTCGAAGAAGACTACGGGTTCTTTATTCCGGGGATATGCCGAAGCGCCACCAACCATGTTGTTGATCGAGATGTGGATGGAGGGTTGGTGGTGAGGTTTCAAGAGTGTTTGATCAGATATGGATGGGAAGGTGACGATTTACGCATTGTTACTGGCAATGAAATGCCCAGAACTGATGGGCTCCCCCAAATATGGTGGGTTGGTACGATCATTGATCGACTGAGGAAAACAGACGATGGCTGGAAAATTTTTGAAAGATATCTTGGGACCCCTTTCAGAAACCAGGCCCTTGATCTGCCAATGGCTGATAAGGCTCTCGGATCATAAGTTACAACAAAGACCAAAACACGGTCCAGGAATGATGTACTACGAGAGCCGAGGGCTGATAGATATGGGACGAATAGCGCCGGGTATCTGACCCTCAGTTCTGACGTTTTGCTACATGACCTAAAGACTGACAAATACAGGTGAATAGAAAAGAAAGGGAGCAAGTGATGAGACTCAATAGGAACAGAAAATAGATGGGTAGGACGATTGACAGTGTCGTGAAATTCTTGTTTGCTGTTTGGATATCATCGTGTATTTATCACATGTTCTAGCATAGCTATGCCTCTACATAGGGGTTTCTAGATTGAATCTCTGTCCTGTTTCTCTACACTCACTATACCTTGCTATAGCCCACGTACGTGGTTCTAAGCCGGTTCTTTATATATACCGGCACTAGGGAGAGGTGCTTTATCTACTTCTATTAGCTCAGTAATTGAGTAAGAAGATTCTTAAATTAAGAGGCCTTCTTTGCTAGATATTTAGGCTGCCCCAAAGCCGCGGCCAACCCGAACCCGTATAACCCGTATAGTCCTTTTAGATAGGCCCTTGTCTTTATAATATTTAGTTAGTAACAGTCTATAATTTTAGGTATTTAACTTACTATAATAATTGGCGCACTAAGGGAGCTCATCATGTGCACTCCTTTGACCATCGGTGGGGTTTGCACGACACGGGAATATAAACCCAAGAAAAGAAGCCAAAGATTTATGTGAGGGTATGTTGAAGCAGATCAGGAGCCTCTAAAGGATCATTATTTACAGGTCTTGTCCGTTTACTCATGGGTCTTTGCAGTCAACAATTCAACCACCACCTCTCATGCTATCATGGACGGTGCGATAGTTTGCAATCGCAAGATCCACGGCGTTTTCAACGGCCTGTCGCCTAAATACTGGCCCAGGACAAACGCAGACAGCTTTGCTGGAGAGAACTACACGCTGTTATCAATAACTTCCGTTCGTTATTAAATTGTTGGAATCTTACCCTCAATGAAAGCTGTTGTATCGAGGTGCGGGGAGGGCGAAGAATCCGATTTTCCGCCGGTTCCATCGGATCGGGTGACGATATGCTCTTGGAATCGAACATCTTTCTCGGATAGAAGTTCCTGCACTCCATAGACATCCACCCACTCTGCACCAGTTTCAGGATCAAATGCATACTCCAAGGCCCTGGACAACGCGTCCGTAGGTTCAGCTGTAAAGTCAATTTCCCCAGAGCGCAGGGAAGTGAGCACTTTCGCCTGACGCTGAACACTTCCCGTATCATTGGTTTGAAGTGAGTTGTATAGAGACATGATCATCTGATTTCGACTCAGAGCAGGCAGTATGGATCCAAATACTTCCTGGATCCTTTGAATATCGGAATGCGAGACTAAAAGTTCGTATGCAATTAGGCAGCACCGTCGAACCAAATGCTGCATAAATAGCGTTTTTTCGTCTGGGGGTATGAATGGGTGAGTAACAAGTGGTAAGCTGAAGCGGGGAGATAGAAAGGACATTTCCGAGTCAGTGTGGGTACTATCGAATCGAATTGTTGCCTGACGTTCAATTGACAAGGCCGGGGTTCGTGGTGATGTGACAACCCACCCGAGTAGTCGATCAAGTGGAATTTTCGTGGACGCTTTGGGGGCTTTTGATGGCAAGTCCGACGGCACTTGTTGGTGCTGTTCTGTATATTCATGGTTTCCCGGTTGCTCAACCGGTCCGCGTTTAGGAAAACCAGCCGTATTCGCACGGTCTTCGTCATCACTAACGTCTTCTATAGGTGCATCTTGTGCTACTCGCGCAAGCACCAGGCATTGCTGGGTTGCCTTATGCAAGGCCAGTGCAATGTGCGGATATTTTTCGGGGGCCTTTGTATCTAGCAACTTCTTACTGATACTAAGAAAGAATTTGCTGAGTTCCTGGATGCCGCATTCTAACTCCTTTACACGCTCCGTCAAATCGTTGATTGTATCTTCCTTCCGGGTGCGATATGCCCGTTGTGCTATGCGAAGCTGTTCTCGGCGTCTCTACACAAGGTAAGCTTAAACAGATCGTATAAGGTTGAATAAACTCACCAAGATGCGCTGCTGGGGATCGCTTGGCAGGGGGGCGACCTCGTAAACGAGGCTTTTGGCTTAAACCCATATTATTGTCGCTTGCATCTGCCATGCTTTGGGCTCAAGTATTAATTTCGACTTGGATGTAGTTTTATGCGATTCCAAGCCATGCCACAGTTCAAAGTTGGGTTTAGATCAACAGTGCTTGTATTGGTGGGTGACAGCACACGGATGTCGAGTGTTTGTTGAATAATCCAAAATTCATGTTGAATAATCAACATCCCGAGCCAAAGGATTGTTTTGAACCCCTCTAACAACAAGTGTCTAGAACTGTGAGCCAGACTTCCAGGTAAAATATATGCATGGTTTCCCATAATATCTTCATATACGACAAAAAGCCTACGAGAGCAGCAGAAAACTACAATTGCCTTTTAGTGGCTTCATGAAACTCAGGTACAGCCAGTACGCAAACGTTTTAACACCCCAGGCCCCACACTGTATGCTTATATAATATTCTGCTGGACTAGTCACTGTAATAGGAGCTACTAGTTAGAGGATAATATGCCAGAAATAGACAGGTACGACAATTTATGGTAAAAATGACATAGGTAAAATTCTCTAACTAACTACAATGACAAAATCCGCTCTTTTTCCAATCTATGCGGACATAGCTGATTAAGCAATGTATATACTCGTGGACTTTTGTATGGTACCGTTATCATGACGGTCCATTGATTTTCCGGTTTGTAAAGACTTATTAATTTCCATCATGCATAAATGCATGGTACCCGACACATAACAAAAACCGAGATTCCTATTTAGGGCCTAGGGGAGTCATATCCTTACTCCGACAAATCTGTGTATTCATCAGACTGATTTAGGTATGGGTTACTCATCATTCTTGAAACGTGTAGTCCACTAACTAGTTAGTTAACTAATCGTGCCGGGGATTAGTAACCATCCCCATTTTACGACGATGTAGATCGCAAGGAATGTAGAGCGCAAACTCAAGTTCGAAGCCACATTTACTAACCATAGATTCTCGCGTTCATCCCCATGCTTAGATTTACGTACAACCTAATCCCGACTTTTTATCAGAAAATGAGTGAGGGAGGCGCCGAGGATAGAGTTAAGATCTATCAACTTCCAAGATCTGCGTCAGGCGATGAACCGTGGGATAAAATAGATCACCTTACTCTTTACTTGTTTCATTGTAACTTGTTACTCCCGATTTATGAAAATATCAGTTAGAGGTACTTAAGAAGAGAATAATTGAGTGAAGTGAAGGGCTATCCGACTCCAGATGGATAAGAGTAAGCCAGTGATATGCGTGCATACTCTTTGCTGATAATCTTATTGGGTAATGATAAAACGAACGTACCAAGGGAGAACAATGGATGTACTTTTTAGGTTTCTTGGCTCAGATCTGTCTCGATTAGCATGAATTAATGAGTGCGCGTGAAAGCGGAGATTAAGTGCCAATGTTGCTACTAATTGGATGGATGAAACTACATGTTGATTCATCAGACCGCATTGTGGCTAATTCAGTATTTTCTAGAAACCGCTAATTAGGGGAATTTTATGTTCTCGATTGAGATCCCAGAGTCTTGTGGAGAATCAGTAATCAGCCCGTAGACCGACTTGATTATAAACGTAGATTGACTGAATGGCTAGTTTGATTTCCCCTGAAGTAGCCCGAGAGAGTATGATGGTTTAAAAGACTCTCATATCGATTCTCTTGTTTGTATGTTCTTTAAAGAGAAACACAAACGAAAAGTCTTTGCCAATCAGCCTCCGAAACCATCGACTCTACTCCTTTTGCAAAGCCTCCTGCTGCCTTGATAGAGGAGCTTCAAGAGTCCCGCAATGTTGTCCAATTCATCAAGGTCCGACACCGAGTCTCAGGAACCCCCTACCTTGGATGAGTCTTTACCGCAAACACCCAACGTTGATTCCGAACACAAATCAGCAGAAAAGGTGGTCCCCGAAGACAGTACAACATGGCATATGACCGAGATGGTGCAGGAAATGCGAGCTCGAGATGAGGAAGCTGGAGAGAAATCCAGGAAGTTGGGCGTGACCTGGCGGAACCTTACCGTGAAAGGCATCAGTTCTGACGCTGCATTCAACGAGAATGTTCTGTCCCAATTCAACCCATTCGCAGGAAGTGGAAAGGACTCGCCGACTAAAACCATCATCGACAACTCGTATGGCTGCGTTAAGCCCGGAGAGATGTTACTAGTTCTTGGTCGCCCTGGGTCAGGATGTACGACATTGCTGAGCGTGCTCTCAAACCACCGGCTCGGCTACTCAGAGGTCACAGGGGACGTCATGTTTGGAAACATGTCCGCGGCCGAAGCCAAGCAATATCGTGGTCAGATCATTATGAATACCGAGGAAGAAGTCTTCTTCCCGACGTTGACAGTTGGTGAGACCATTGATTTCGCGGCCCGCATGAAAGTCCCCTATCATCTCCCATCGGGTGTAAAGAGTAGGAAAAAGTATGCTGAGCTGAACAAAGAGTTTTTGTTAAGCTCAGTTGGTATTTCCCATACTGCATCTACCAAGGTGGGAGATGCTTTTATTAGAGGTGTCTCGGGAGGCGAGAGGAAACGTGTTTCCATTCTTGAGTGCATGAGCACTCGTGCAAGTATCTTCTGTTGGGATAACTCCACGCGCGGACTCGACGCCAGCACAGCATTAGAGTGGATTAAGGCGATCAGGGCTTTCACGGACGTCCTTGGACTCACCACTATTGTCACCCTCTACCAGGCAGGCAATGGCATCTACGAACATTTTGATAAGGTGCTGGTACTGGACGAGGGCAAGCAAATTTTCTACGGTCCACAGAAGGAGGCTGTTCCTTTCATGGAAGACCTTGGCTTCATGCGCGCCACTGGGTCCAACAAGGCAGATTTCCTGACTGGGGTGACTGTTCCAACAGAACGCATTATTGCCCCAGGTTATGAGAAAAACTTTCCCCTGAATGCCGACGAAGTCCGTACGGTATACAATCTGTCAAGCACCAAGACCAAAATGTTGGCCGAATTTACGTATTCGGAAAGTGAAGAGGCGGCCGAGAATACGGCCGTTTTCAAGGAAATGGTCGCTCGGGAAAAGCATAAGGGTGTGTCCAACAAGTCACCTATCACCGCCGACTTTGCAACCCAGATCAAGACTGCCGTCATCCGGCAATATCAGATCATGCTGGGCGACAAATCAACCCTCCTGATGAAGCAGGGCGCCACGGTTATTCAGGCTCTACTCGGCGGTTCGCTCTTCTACAATGCCCCAGACAATTCTCTTGGTTTGTTCCTCAAGGGTGGCGCTTTGTTCTTCTCCATTCTATACAATGCCCTGATCGCACTTTCGGAAGTCACCGACTCATTCACTGGCAGACCCATTCTAGCTAAGCATCGTTCATTTGCCCTGTATCATCCAGCAGCTATCTGTATTGCCCAGATCATCGCAGACTTTCCTATCTTGCTTTTCCAGGTCACGCACTTTGGCTTGGTCCTCTACTTTATGGTTGGGCTTAAGGCAACTGCAGAAGCCTTCTTTACCTACTGGATAACGAATTTTGCAACAGCGATGTCCATGACGGCTCTATTTCGACTGATAGGGGCCGCCTTCCCCACATTCGACGCCGCGACTAAGGTATCAGGCCTTACCGTTGTGGCGTGTTTCGTTTACATGGGCTACATGATCATCAAACCTCAAATGCATCCATGGCTTGTATGGATTTTCTGGATAAACCCCATGGCTTACGGCTTTGAGTCCCTTCTTGGAAACGAGTTTCATGACCGAAATATCCCCTGTGTTGGCCCGAATATTATACCAAACGGGCCCGGTTATACCGATGGAGAGGGCGGGCAATCCTGCTCTGGAATCACCGGTGCTGCAGTGGGCGCAACTAGTATCATGGGTGACGACTACCTCGCATCTATGTCATTCAGTCATAGCCATATCTGGCGCAATTTTGGAATCATTTGCGGGTGGTGGGTATTTTTCGTTGCGCTGACCATCTTCTTTACCTCCAGATGGGAGTTACCTGGAGAAGGTGGCCGCAGCCTTCTCATTCCCCGGGAGAAGGAGACTAAAACGAAGCATTTACTCCTTGGAGACGAGGAATCTCAAGTGACCGGGAAGTCTGTCACCGAGTCTGGAGCAAACGATTCACAGGCGAGCCTTGGACAAGATCTCATCCGCAACAGAAGTATCTTTACCTGGAGGAACTTGACATATACTGTGAAGACTCATTCGGGTGAGCGAGTCCTTCTCGACAACGTGCAAGGCTATGTTAAACCTGGCATGCTTGGAGCTCTCATGGGGTCTTCTGGGGCCGGTAAGACAACTCTCCTTGACGTTCTTGCCCAGCGCAAGACGGACGGAAACATCCACGGGTCCGTTTTGGTTGATGGCCGCCCTATCCCCATCTCCTTCCAACGCTCTGCAGGGTATGTGGAACAGTTAGATGTGCACGAGTCTTTTGCTACTGTTCGTGAAGCCCTCGAATTCTCTGCTCTCCTACGTCAACCCCGTGACACGCCCGCGGAGGAAAAGATAAGTTATGTGGACACTATTATAGATCTACTGGAACTCCGTGATCTTGAGCATACACTTGTTGGGCGCCCTGGTGCTGGTCTGTCTGTCGAGCAGCGCAAGCGTCTCACTATCGCCGTGGAGCTAGTCGCGAAGCCGAGCATTCTGATCTTTTTAGACGAGCCCACATCAGGCCTTGACGGCCAGGCAGCATACAATACCGTTCGTTTTCTCCGTAAGCTTGCTGAGGTTGGGCAAACCGTCTTAGTCACTATACACCAGCCATCGGCCCAGCTGTTTGCACAGTTCAATACACTACTTTTGCTAAGCAAGGGCGGGAAGACGGTGTACTTTGGGGATATTGGCGACAACGCAAGCACTGTTAAAGGCTACTTTGCTCGACATGGAGCGAATTGCCCGTCCGAAGCCAACCCTGCTGAGTATATCATCGATGTGGTTTCAGGAAATACATCTCAAAAGGCAGACTGGAACAAAATCTGGCTAGAGTCGCCGGAGCACGGCCGACTCACAACAGCGATAGATGAGATGGTAGCAGAAGCAGCTGCTAAACCCTCAGAGACCACTGACGATGGGCATGAGTTCGCAGCGTCGATGTGGACGCAGATCAGACTCGTGACTCAGCGCATGAACGTCTCGCTATTTCGGAACACTGAATATATCGACAACAAGTTTGCTATGCACATCAGTCTAGCACTATTGAATGGCTTCTCCTTCTGGATGATTGGGGACAATCTCACAGACCTGCAGCAAAATCTCTTTACTGTCTTCAATTTCATTTTTGTTGCGCCAGGAGTGATTGCCCAACTACAGCCTCTCTTCATCGACCGCCGAGATATCTACGAGACACGTGAGAAGAAAAGCAAAATGTACCACTGGGCTCCCTTCGTTGCTGGCCTTATCGTTTCGGAGATACCTTACCTGATTGTCTGCGCGTTGCTTTATTACGTCTGCTGGTACTTTACCTGTGGGCTGAGCGCGGCACCGGAACATGCCGGTAGTGTTTTCTTTGTGGTGGTAAGTTTCCTTCCATTATTCTCAAGTAAGGGTTGTATCGCGAGTGCTAACACTAAGTCATAGGTGATGTACGAGTGCCTCTACACTGGCATTGGTCAGATGATCGCCGCCTATGCCCCTAATGCGGTCTTCGCTTCGCTTGTCAACCCACTCGTGGTTACGACTCTGGTTTCTTTCTGTGGAGTAATGGTGCCATATAGCCAAATCGAACCGTTTTGGAAATATTGGTAAGTATCATTTCCATGTGTCGATGCCTTATTTGCCACTTGCAGAATCTAACTGCGGTGATTAGGATATACTACATTGATCCTTTCAACTATCTCATGAGTTCACTGCTTATTTTTACCACTTGGTCTAAGCCTGTAACCTGTGATGTTGGGGAGCTCGCTATATTCGATCCGCCTGCCAATCAATCCTGTGGTGATTACCTAGCCTCCTACCAACAAGGTCAAGGGATGGGGACAAATCTCCTCAACCCAAGTGCAATGGCGGATTGCCAAGTGTGCCAATATATGTCAGGTGGAGATTACCTCAAGACCCTCAATCTCGAAGCTGAGTATTTTGGGTGGAGGAATGCAGGAATCATTGTTGTCTTCGTAATTGGTATCTACGGATTGGTGTTCCTGATGATGAAACTGAGAACCAAGGCCACCAAGAAGGCAGAGGCTTAGCTGACATGGTCCTTGGGCCGAAATGGTTGAGAGGAAGCGCCCCAATGTTAAGACAAAAGGCTGCCAGGGATAAACTCAAGGTATTGGGTTCAACTCATTCTTGGAAAATGAGACGGGATCAAAGAATGAGATAGCAGGTATATATAGAAGTCATCGCGGGGGTTTTGTGCTACTATTTTGAACACTACCATGCACACAATAAGCATGGAATTAATACTCTGTACTAGATAGAAAATTGCTGTTCTTAAAGATGAATTCCTTTTAAAGCCTCATTAAAGTATTATCCGGAAGACTTTCTTTGATTTTAACGCAATGAGGCTACACAAGGCGCATGATTTTATCTCCATGTGCTTTCTGACGATTTAGGGATGAAGCCAAAATGGAGACGAAACTTTCAAGGTTTATCTTCTTTCGGGCCATATTTACGCACCAAATATCTCAAGATCAGGGGCGTGCTCAATTCTGCTCAGTGAGCAAAAGCGGCGAGGGGTAGAACGGGAGGAGAGCGCCAAGCGTTGCCAGACATCATTCGGTATATATGCCATCCTCGAGCCTAAGCACATACCGAATTCCACCATCCACATTAGAATTTGAGATAATAGCATTACAGAGAGCTCGTTTCACCATATACATTGCACAAGAAGTGTTACAAATCTGAGAGTGATTCTATGCAGGAACGGGATATTTTTTTAATTACTCGTCGCGATCAGATCGCTTTCCATCATACAGCTCACGTTAGCGGCCGCCGAGGGCGTTTACCGCGACAGAGCAATGTCATCAATTCTCATGATCATCTTCACAGTCTCCGCAGCCAGCTCAATCGCACTGGTGCTGACTAGCAGGGGTTGGAGAATATTCTCCTCTGTGATATCATCCTTAACACCACCGCTGCGAATGCTGACACCAGCATTGTGCTGGCCCTGAGCGTGGCGGTGGCGTAGTTCAGTCACAACCTTGATGGAGTTAAGACCGGCGTTCTCAGCGAGAGTCGTGGGAATGACCTCCATGGCATCGGCGAAGGCCTTGAAGCAAATAGCCTCAGTACCAGTAAGTTCACGAGCGCGCATGGCGAGTGTGTGAGCCACTTCAATCTCGGGAGCACCACCACCTGCAATCATGGCACGCTTCTTGACAAGGCAGCGAATGACACAAAGAGCGTCGTGCAAAGATCGCTCGGCTTCATCCAAAATCAAGCTGTTGGCACCGCGGGCGACAATAGAGACAGTCTGGTTGTAAGAGGCAAGAGGAGCCTTGATACCGGTGATCTTGACGTAACGAGCACCCGAGGCCTGGACTTCCTCGACGAGGTCGGCAGTGCCGAGCTTGTCCTCGGTGAAGGAGTCGACGTTAGCGACGGGCTTGCAGCCGAGACTCTTGCACAGGAACTCGACCTCATCACGCTCAATATCCTTGATGGCGAGGATCTTGAGACGAGAAAGGAAGTGCAGGGAAAGTTCGTTCACGGCATCACGCAGGATGGACTTCTGAATCAAAAGAACGTTACACTTGGTCTTCTGGATCTTCTTGACCATGTTGAGCATGTATTGGCGCTCCTCTTTCAGGATCTTGTCCATCTGACGGTAGTCGTTAACCACGATTTGGTTCTCCATCTAGGATCTGATTGTTAATTTTGTTCGAATAGTAACTTGAGGCATGAGTAAACATACGTCTGGCTTGGGCGGGCTCAGTTGGAACTGGATCAGACCTATCCGCGCCTTCTCGATTCTTGTGGGACCACCACTGCTCTTGATCACGGGCTGGTTGAGAACCACACCATCGACCATCTCACTATCCTCAATTGTGCCGCCAACCTTCTTCACAATACGGATGTCCCGCAAGTCCACATTCTCTGCGGTCTTCGGGTCACAAACCTTTAGGACCGAGTCGACGGCCATCGGGCCCAGAAGTCCGGAGTGCTGGGACACGATCTTGGACGAAAGCGAAGTAGAAGCGGCTTGGAGGAGGGTGGAACGATCGGAAAGATTGATAGGACGGGACATGTTGTGGAGGATCTCGACGGCAGCACCGGCGGCTCTTTGGAAAGACTCGGAGATGACAGTGGGGTGAAGGCCCTTGCCTAGCAACTTTTCGGCAGCGCCGAGCAGACTGCCAGCAATGACAACTACTGATGTCGTTCCATCACCAGCTTCGACATCCTGCGCCGAACTCAGATCGACGAGCATACGAGCAGCGGGGTGCATCACGCTCATATCTTTCAACATGGTGTTTCCATCATTGGTCTGCGGGGGTCAGTTGAGGCTTCCGATCTGTTCGAATGGAATTGGGCTGCGTACGATGATGGTCTGTCCCTTGGGCGTTTGGATCTAGAGAGATATTAGCACCTTGATAGAACGAAAACCCGAGATGAACTCACCATCTTATCCATACCCCTGGGCCCCAACGACTATATTCCTGTTAGCCCCTCATCTAGGTATTTGCAGATCGTTTGAGCAGGCGTACTGTTCGAATGGCATCGGAGACAGCTACGGTATCATTAGCATGGGCGCCTTTGACACAATGAGAATATACATACCCCGAGCAGCGAGAATGTTGGAGGCCCGCACGGCCATCGGCTTCTCCTTGTCCTGCATGCAATCAGAAATCAGTGGTTCACACAGATCTTTTTGAGGCCTCGCACCTTGAAGGAGTTGTTGCCCGCGGCTCCCTGTGCTACTGCGGCGGCCATTTTGAAAATTGATATTCAAAATTAACCTTAAAAAATGAGTGAAAGGAGATAGTTGAGTTGTTGTGGTGGAGGACACACAGGAAATTCTGCGAGGTTCTGGGGCGGTGATGAAGCTTGGCACCTGATTAGTGAGGCTAGCTCGACTACCCTACCGCAGCTCTGCTACATCACCGTTCTTTGCTCTCCCAATATCCAACCTATCTATCTTTTTTCAACTTGCCACTGTTCCCAGAGCACGTCGAATTTGTTCTATCTGCATATACATTTTCGATTTTATTGTTTTCTTGAATCCTCCCTTAGCTCGGCCTCGGGCTGTCAACACCTTTCATCATGCCTAGCGCCACGGGTCAGAACTGGGAGAAGTACCAGAAGAACTACGCAGACGATGATGAACCAGAGAAGAAGATCACACCCCTTACAGACGCGTGAGTTCCCGGCATGTGTTGATTCAATCCACACAAAGCGCGATGGCAATAATTGACTGATGTCCATCACAGTGACATCGCAGTACTCAAGACTTACGGCGCCGCACCTTACGCGAATGCGCTGAAGAAGCTCGAGAAGGATATCAAGGACAAACAGAACAGCGTGAATGAAAAGATCGGTGTTAAGGTGATAACTTGTCCAGCTCTTTCGGCCCCTTGAACAACTGGAGCTTACGCCTTACCAGGAATCCGACACCGGTCTTGCGCCTCCACACCTTTGGGATGTTGCCGCCGATCGACAACGCATGGCGGAGGAACAGCCACTACAGGTCGCGAGGTGCACAAAGATTATCCAGGATGAGAAGGACTCGGACAAGAGCAAATATGTGATCAACGTCAAGCAAATTGCCAAGTTCGTTGTCAACCTAGGAGAGCGTGTTAGTCCGACAGATATCGAGGAAGGCATGAGAGTTGGGTAAGTTATATGGTGGATTATATGCCATTTCTAGGTACTGACTAGGCTTTGCAGCGTCGACCGTAATAAGTACCAGATCATGCTGCCCTTGCCGCCAAAGATCGACCCTAGCGTGACAATGATGACTGTCGAGGATAAGCCCGATGTGACCTACGGCGATGTTGGCGGATGCAAAGAACAGATCGAGAAGCTACGAGAAGTCGTTGAAATGCCCTTGCTATCGCCAGAACGTTTCGTGAACCTCGGTATCGACCCACCCAAGGGTGCCCTGCTCTATGGACCCCCGGGAACGGGAAAGACCCTTTGCGCCCGTGCAGTCGCCAACCGAACGGATGCTACCTTCATTCGTGTCATTGGTAGTGAACTGGTGCAGAAGTACGTTGGTGAGGGTGCTCGGATGGTCCGTGAACTTTTCGAGATGGCTCGTACCAAGAAGGCATGCATCATTTTCTTCGATGAAATTGATGCTGTTGGTGGTGCACGTTTCGACGATGGCGCTGGTGGTGACAACGAAGTTCAGCGAACCATGCTGGAACTGATCACACAGCTGGATGGATTCGACTCTCGTGGTAACATCAAGGTCATGTTCGCTACCAACCGTCCTTCCACACTTGACCCAGCCCTGATGCGTCCTGGTCGTATTGATCGTAAGATCGAATTCTCGCTGCCGGATGTGGAGGGCCGTGCCAACATTCTCCGAATCCATGCCAAGAGCATGTCCGTCGAGCGAGACATCCGTTGGGAGTTGATCTCACGATTGTGTCCCAATGCTACAGGTGCCGAACTTCGCAGTGTTGCGACTGAGGCAGGTATGTTTGCTATTCGGGCTCGTCGCAAGGTGGCTACCGAGAAGGACTTCTTGGCCTCTGTTGAGAAGGTGATTAAGGGCAACCTCAAGTTCAACTCGACGGCGACATATATGCAGTACAACTAGAGATTCCGACTTGCATTATGGATGGGATGTACGATCACTATTGTCTTGTTACGTGGGAATTTCTTTCTGGTCAATGCAATATAATTTCAACCAAATTCCCTCTGGCTACCCATTTAGTACAGTATAGTCCTTCCAGCTACTTTCTCCTGATTGGTGAACACATCGATGGTCATGTGACCACGCGTGATTGTCTCGATCTAGATGTACACTGCAACTGAAGTGTGTGTTACATCTAGCAATTGTATGTCGTTCCACCAGTAAAGGTGGAACTAAAATCAGAAACAATAGCCATATATAGTGATAAGACCCCGTAATTCATCCTAGTGGCTCTCTTCAATCTCCCTGACACTCTACCGTATCCTTCCGGTAGCCTGTGCTGGCCGGCAAAATGAATTGTGGACACGTGCCATCTGGCCAATCACGGACGGCCGGCTGCCCGAGGTTGATTTTCATTGCGCAGCCGCTGATTGGCTGGTTCGGCCCCGGTCCTCCCCGTCGGCAACTGTGAGAATGATTATGTCAGCGTGAAACCGTCAACCGTAACCCGATTCCAGATCCAAGTGTTGCCCTGGAAGGAGTTCACTATTCCACAATCTCCCCTCTTTGCTAAGCCCGTCACCGACCCTCGGTGTCCTGCAATTCTCTTGGTTCATTAGGGAAACTCAATTCTCTTTTGACCCGCCATCATGAGCTCCATGAGCCTGCGGAGCCTAGCTCCTGCATCCAAGGTGAGTAGCCATGCAACGATTTTCGGCCCATTCGCGACACCCGTAACATACTCATACGTCTATTTCTCCAGGTTTCCCGTGTTTTGAGGGATCAAAGACGTCTTTTCTCATCTTCAAGGCCCGCAGGTACGCATTAGAGCACTCATATTGTCTACCCATGAACGCACCACTAATTACTACTGCGCCAGCCCGGATATGGTCCAACCAGCCTTTGCGCGCTAAGGAATCCAATGGCTACCTGACCGACAAGTACCCTATCATTGTAAGACAATACCGCTCTCCGAATGGACATGAGATTGATTGGATCTGACTTGCGCAGGATCACGAGTACGATGCCCTCGTTGTCGGTGCCGGTGGTGCCGGTCTGCGCGCTGCTTTCGGTCTGGCCGAGGCTGGATTCAAGACTGCTTGTGTTTCCAAGCTTTTCCCCACGAGAAGTCACACTGTCGCTGCCCAGGGTGGTATCAACGCTGCCCTCGGAAAGTAGGTTTCCCACACAAGCGCTGAAAGGTAGTGAATCGAATCTAACTGGATTTTAGCATGCACGAGGATGACTGGAGATGGCACATGTACGATACCGTCAAGGGTTCTGATTGGCTTGGTGACCAAGATGCCATCCACTACATGACCCGCGAGGCTCCGGCCAGTGTTCGCGAGCTTGAGGGCTACGGTTGCCCCTTCTCGCGTACCGAGGATGGACGTATTTACCAGCGTGCTTTTGGTGGTCAGTCCAAGGATTTCGGTAAGGGTGGCCAGGCTTACCGTTGCGCCGCCGCCGCCGACCGTACTGGTCACGCCCTGTTGCACACTCTCTACGGACAGTCCCTCCGCCACAACACCAACTACTTCATCGAATACTTCGCGCTCGACTTGCTGATGGAGGGTGGTGAGTGCCGTGGTGTCATTGCCTACAACCAGGAGGATGGTACTTTGCACCGCTTTAAGGCCCACCACACTGTTCTTGCCACCGGTGGTTACGGACGTGCCTACTTCTCTTGTACCTCTGCCCACACTTGCACTGGTGACGGTATGGCCATGGTTGCTCGTGCTGGTCTCCCTAACCAGGATCTTGAGTTCGTCCAGTTCCACCCTACTGGTATCTACGGTGCCGGTTGCCTGATCACTGAGGGCTCCCGTGGTGAGGGTGGTTACCTGCTCAACTCCGAGGGTGAGCGATTCATGGAGCGTTACGCTCCTACCGCCAAGGATCTTGCCTCCCGTGACGTTGTCTCTCGCTCCATGACTCTGGAGATCCGTGAGGGCCGTGGTGTCGGTCCCGAGAAGGACCACATCTACCTCCAGCTGAGCCACTTGCCCGCTGAGCTCCTCCACGAGCGTCTGCCCGGTATCTCCGAGACTGCCTCGATTTTCGCCGGTGTTGATGTCACTAAGCAGCCCATCCCTGTCCTGCCCACCGTCCACTACAACATGGGTGGTATCCCCACCAAGTACACCGGTGAGGTTCTGGATGTGGATGAGAACGGTCAGGAGAAGGTTGTTCCTGGTCTGTACGCCTGTGGTGAGGCCGCATGTGTGTCTGTTCACGGTGCTAACCGCCTGGGTGCCAACTCCCTGCTTGATTTGATTGTCTTCGGCCGTGCTGTGTCTCACCGTGTTCGCGACACTGCCACCCCCGGCAAGCCCCACAAGGAGCTTTCCTCCGATGCTGGTGCTCAGTCCATCAAGGACCTCGACTTTGCCCGTACCGCCGATGGCCCTAAGTCCACCTTCGAAATCCGCAACGCCATGCAGAGAACCATGCAGACCGATGTCAGCGTCTTCCGTACCCAGGAGAGCTTGGACGAGGGTGTCGAGAAGGTCAACAAGGTTGACCAGTTGTATGCCCAGGTCGGCACCAAGGACCGCAGCATGATCTGGAACTCCGACCTGGTGGAGACCCTTGAGCTCCGCAACCTGCTGACTTGCGCGTACGTAACCCCGAGTAAATGATTTAGGATCCCTTGCTAACACAATCTCGCAGTACCCAAACCGCTGCTTCTGCTGCCGCTCGTAAGGAGTCTCGTGGTGCCCACGCCCGCGAGGACTACCCCGACCGTGACGACGAGAAGTGGATGAAGCACACTCTTTCCTGGCAGAAGAAGCCCCACGGCGAGGTCAAGCTAGGCTACCGTGCCGTTGAGGCTAACACCCTGGATGCGGAGGAGTGCAAGCCCGTCCCTCCTTTCAAGCGTACCTACTAAGCTCGCTATTTCGGAGTCGACCCGCAGAGAATACGGAGGATACCACGGAGTTGTTTCAGATGGACCCTATCGACGCCCTCTCCCAGCCTCGTGGTTTTGAGGTGGAACTAGGGCTTGTGGCGTCACAAGGCCCCGTTTCAAGGGGGATTATCTATGAAAAAGACCATTTTTTTTGTTGACTGTGTTACTTACCATCCTGTATAGCCATATTTTTTTCCTTTATCTTAACAGGCGAAGAGTTGGTGTGCTGAGTGCTTTTACCCTCAGTTTGTCTCATATGATTGGATTTATTACTTCTTAATGCTTTTTCTGTTGGCCATGATAGATTCCTCTTGTAGTTTCTTTTTCCCCCTTGTCCCATATCGAAATTTCCCTTCTTTGTCTGGTTTGGCTAAAAATCCTCAGGGGTTCCAAGGTTGACTCCCCCCTGTCTAGTCAACAAAGAAACCAAACACTAGCCTCTTCGAGTGTCATCTTGAGCCTTGCTTTATTTGTGGCAGGCTTCTTGCTAACTTGCTGACTTGCTAGATTCTGTGGTTTTTTTATCACTAGAACATCCAAAATAGCCATGACTCGTCAAAGAGCCGAAGAGCCTATCCACACAAGCCAAAGATATCCAACCTTACACAGATGAAGCCCATTGGTGACAGACATACGAACTGCCAGGATCTATAAATTAACATGTCTTTGCCACCCGCATCATCAACAAAGGGACCCTTTTCGGCTTCTTTCGGGAACAGGGTCCTGCTCTCCATGAAGGGCAATGGATGGCTCTTGCAAGAATATCTGTCGAGGCATGACCCAGGTAACCTCTATTGTCATTCCTGCTGGCAGATCCTCGAATCTCATTGAAAGAACGAGACCTCTCGCCTCCAGTCGTTCAAGCTTGTGCTATCCAGCATAACTGCTGTGTCTTGCGATTTGACCAAGTTGCCTTTGGATTCGGTGCATGGGACTTGATATTTGAGGATGGTGTTTGAGATAGATTCTCTCGAGCCCCTCGAGTCTATCATCCCTCGAGACTCTAATGATTGCACCGGGAGCAAGCTGTGGTATGTCTGCACTGCAGGCAACTTTCGCGGTTGCTGCTCAAGTGATCCGTGTACGACGGGCATGTGTCCAGATGACACACTCTCATTGACCACAGCTGGGGTCATCGGTTTGTTGCCTAATGTGCCGAGAACCACCACCACTTCAACCATCACTTCCTCTACATCCACTTTGTCGGGGTCAACTACCGTCTTGTCAACGGATCCGTCTACGACCGCATCTCCATCTCCGTCGGGGTCAACTACCGTCCTGTCAATAGATCTGTCTACGACTGCATCTTCTCCTTCTTTGGCGGCCTCCTCTATTGCCTCAGAAACATCAACAGGCTCGGAGACATCCAACACCCCAAGTGCCCCATCCTCAAACCTGGGCGCAATCATCGGCGGTGTTATTGGGGGGATTGCGGTCTTGGTCATATGTGCTGTTCTACTTTTCTGTTGCTGTCGTCGCAAGAGAGAATATGGGAAATGCAAGAAAGGCTCAACTCTTGTTTCATGGTACCCATCTGGGTTAAAACAAAAATATCGAGCAAATGCATCCGAAATGAAAGGGGCTCTATCACCGTCAGACAGCGAAACAAATAGTGAGCACACACATCCAATAACTAACTGGTCAGCGAGGCAAAATAACATTTCACTGATACTAGACGTTTCCTTAAAAATAGATTCATTGAGCGCAGTCTCCCCATTTACCCCGGATAACATACGGGGAAGCATAATCCTCACGCCAGAGCTAGCATTAGGGTCATCTTCACCAAACTTTATCTCACACTCTCACCACAAATCGCCTCCAGTCCCGCCAACCAAACCGCACCCAAGCGAGCTCATCGCTTCAGTCCCTCCCCGGCCAGGCTATACCCCAGAACTACCAGACACGTGCTTCCATCGGCTGCGCGCCGAACTAGCCTCCCACTCCCAGAGCGAGCTGATTAACGTACCCATAGAGCAACGACAGCGACAGCAGAATGGCACCACATCAAGGACTAATCCACGATCTTGGGAATCGCCTGGCTTGGCGCCTATGCCTAGTTCATGTGCAAGCTCAGCAAGAGGAACCGGCAACGGCAGCGGCCACGGCCATAGCAATAGCAATGGTAGCAGTCCTAGGAGAAACCAAGCTGGACGGATCATCACCGCCGAGGGAGTTGTCCTAGGCGCGAATCTGGATCGATACTCCAATGGCATGGAAATTGGAGAGTCCCAGGCCCAGGGGGAAAGGGGAAGGAGGGCTGAGCGTGATGAGACAGACCATGTTATGAGTTTTATGCAGTATGCTGGGAGACCGGAGGATCGGGGCTTGGGGAATGGGCTTGGGATCACAACAAGTGACCATACTTCCAATCTCCAGGCACGTAGGAGCAGTGCGTCCAGATCGAGGCCTAGGCCCGCGGAGCGCAGTTTGGAAGAAGATATTGTGGCTGCGGAGGGTAATATTGACCTTCCGCCTGCTTATGAGGCAGAAGAGGGCGCCCCTGGACACGAAATTAAGTCTCCGTCAGGGAGGATGAGTATGACCCCAAGAGGGGGGACTTGAGGAATTGGGTTTGATTTTGATTTTGGGGGTTAATGCTGGTTGTTTCCATGTTAGGGTTGGAGCCCCGGCGTCAGTGTTTTGATGAGATTTGAACGATGGTCCGATTGGTATGTTGAATGATATTCCCTCCTTTATTAGCACTACATCGCTTAGACTTTTTATTTTGGAATCCACCTAAACAAGTCAATTCATACATTCATTTTTGTCTAACCGAAAGCCTAACATTTGTTTTCTTCATATATCGTATCCAAAGATTTACAGCAAGTTCTTCAGCACGCCGGTCTGCTCGAGGACTGCACGCTTGCTGGTTCCGCCAATGGCATCCTTGAGCTCGACGGCACGCTCGTAGTCAAGGCAAGCCTGGACATCAGCGTCGAAGCGGGCGTCAACTTCCTGGAGCTGCTTCAGAGAGAGTGTGTCCATGGGAACATTGGTGTTCTCAGCCAGAGCAACGACACGACCGGAGATGTGGTGTCCCTCGCGGAAAGGCACGCCCTTGCGGACAAGGTAGTCCGCAATTTCGGTGGCCAGCATCTCCGGGGCCAGGGCGGCGATCATCTTCTCGGGGATGACAGTGAGAGTAGAGAGCACACCGGTCGCAATCTGGATGCTGTCGCTGACAGTCTTGACATGGTCGAGCATTGGCTCAACACTCTCCTGCAGATCCTTGTTGTAGGTAGTGGGGAGACCCTTGATTGTGCACATCAGGCCGGCCATCTGGCCGAAGGCACGACCAGCCTTACCGCGGAGCAGCTCCAGGCTGTCTAAATTGCGGAACATATATCAGTATGTTGCTTCATATTTAAAAAAAAAAAAGACGGAGTCTAAACTTACCTGCGTTCTTCTTCTGGGGCATGAGCGACGATCCAGTCGAGTAGGCATCTGACAGACGGACAAAGCCGAACTCCAGACTGCTGTAGATGATCAGATCCTCGGCCCAGCGGGAAATCTTGAGCATGAACGAGCTGCCCCATTGCATGGTCTCCATAGCGAAATCACGGTCCGCAACAGCGTTCATGGAGTTGTATAGCAAGCCATCGAAGCCAAGCTCCTTGGCCATGGCCTCACGATCAATGTTGAAGCAGTTACCGGCAAGGGCACCGGTACCAAGAGGGCTCTTGTTAACGCGACGGATCACCTCACGCAAACGCTCCAACTCGCTAGCGAAGGCAGTGGCGTGTGACAGGATCCAGTGGGACCAGCGGACGGGCTGGGCCTTCTGCAAGTGGGTGTAGCCGGGCATGAGATAGGCGATATCGTTCTCAGCACGGGCAATGGAGACCTTGATCAAATCAGACAGGTGGCTCTCGATCAGACGGAGCTCATCACGGAGCCACAAGCGCATATCCGTGGCGATCTGCTCATTACGCGACCGACCGGTGTGCAGCTTGCCACCAATGTCCTTGCCAATGATCTCGCCCAGACGGCGCTCGTTGGCGGTGTGAATGTCTTCATCGTTCTCCTTGGCGACGAAAGTGTTTGTTTGCCATTCCTGGGCGATCTGCTTGAAACCACGCTCGATCTCGGCGAACTCTTGTTGTGTGAGGATGCCGGAGTTGGTGTTGGCGCGGGCGAAAGCAATTGAGCCGGCAATATCCTGCTTCCAGAACACACGATCGTAAGGGAGCGAGGTGTTGTACTGCACCATAAGGGGGTCAAGGCCCTCTGGAGATTTTTTGTATGAGTCAGTGGTTTTTTGGTGGGATGGAGGGGTTGGGGTACTCACGGGTGAAGCGGCCTCCCCAGAGCATGTTCTCAGCGACGCCTTTAGGGTTACTCATTTTGAAGGAACGGAGATTGGTCAATTGGCTTGGAAATTAGAGAAATTAGAGAAGTTTGAAGTGAAGTTCTCCCTGCATCTCGAGGAATCAACCGGCAACCGATCAGCCGCTAAACCCAATTGGGAATATCTGGGGACAATGTTTACTATGAGTCACTTATCTCCAGTGCCGATATCTGACAGACATTTCCCCTATCCACATTTGATGGCGTTCAACTAAAATGAAAATGGAGCTTTTGAAAGGTATATTTATGTATAGACTTTTTTTTACACTCCAGAATAAGTACGGCCTGTTATACTCGGATCTAACTTCAGAATATAATATTACCTGCTAAAAAATTAATTAGTATAAGCACCCTCTACCAATCCTCCCTAGTTTGTAATATCCCCTCACTAACTAACTCGGAAGGCCCGAAGCCGATAATGACACTCAATGCACTGATTTATCCGACTGGGAGAACCGCCACAAGCGTTATGGGTATTCGAGAGATTCAAGCATCATGAAGTCAGCGGCCGATATCGGTAGTATTCCAAAGTTATCATCCGGCCAAGAATCCAAAGTCTGCGGGGGCCGGAAAGGAGTCGTTTGGATTTGGTTGGAAGTATCGTGCGAGGGCTGAACCGATGTATCGCTGGTGGATCGGCTGGATTGCTCGGTGAAGTGGGTGGCAGTTCTCTTCTGAAGTACTGTTTGGTACCAACTTCGGATACCTTTCCACTGATTCAACAACCGATGAAAGTAATGAGTCTGTCCTTGCGGCGTGTTGGTCATGGAGAACAGTTCCTGTGTTCGTGTATATATCACCCCGAGGTAAGAATCCAACCGAGCAATGCGCGCTGTGGATTCTTTATCAGAGGCAATCATATCGATTGATACCGAGATTTTGCTTGCTAGCATGATCGTATAGGTAAGCTGTCGCCAGTCAAAAGCAGTCCATGTTTGCATATCGTCCACCGATATCGCCAAGGCACGTTTCATATAGTCCTCCACATGACCCAGGCAATCGAACATAATGGTCACCCGGGTCGCAGAAAAGGGCTGATTCCGAAGGTTGCCATGAAGCCCAATTTCGTGCGCGTATGCCCCTGCTAAGTCACCCCACGTATTAAGTTGTGCTTATAACTCTAAGTCAGCTTTCTTTTAACCGCCATTTTCAACCGCAAAGGCAATGAAGACCCACCGTGTTGGGATATTTCAGGTGGAAGGCTTTCCCGCCACGAATGGAGCTGGCCTTCGAGAGCTTTCACAACCACTTGCACTTTATCATCACCCATCGAAAGACTATGGTCAGGGTCACCATATTGAAAGACACTATAGACTTCATTCATAATTCGCAGCAGCTTAATGAAGTGTATCAGCGTCTTGTCGGTGTCCACCTCGCTATCCTCTTGAAGAGAGAAGGCACATTGCTCCATATAGGTGGAATATGCAATTGGTAATTGCTTTCGGCACATGAGTGCGCATCTGATTCTGTGTCAGCGGGTAAGCCCTCAGTAATCGCGGACCTACGATGCATACAGTGTTGACTGGATATAGGCCCCGATCAGCGCCCTTCTTGCCTCATGACTCCAAAACTCAAGTGGATGGGTTGTCATATGTTCTGCTGCTGGTTGAGAATTGAGAATCAGATCGTGCTGTGTTGTTCCTTGTGGAGGCTTCTTGTTGAGCCCAAGATCTACAATCATTGTCACACACAATGAAGCTAATCGATATGCATGGTATTGTCCAGACTCGGCCACGTTGAAATGATACCTGAACAATTAGGCCGATTGCAAACAGTTTCTTTAGGAAAGGGATCGCGCACCATGCAAGATATACTAATAGCCCCTGAAGTATGTCCAAGCTACGTTCGCCATTAAAGAATCTCGACCCTAGCTCCTTCACATAGAACTTCTCCAGAGCAATCTGTCGGGGGTTGTTTTGCCACGATGCTACAACCAGCATGGCTTGCAAAAGCATTGGTCGCTCCTGCTGCAATTCCAACACCCCGAGCCTCACAGGGACAACAACACAGGGAAAGTGCTGGTGCGACATCTTTTGATATGTCTGGCACAAGGTTTCTGCCTCGGGGAATGTGACAAGACCACATGTTAAAGGATCCTGGTTCGTGGAGGTTGGTTCGCTGAGCCCTGGCGATGCAGTAAATGCTGCAGATGTGATAATATCTGGCATAATTCGATGTTGCGATCGATCAGGCAGTCGGTCCACCAAATTACCTATCATCTCTTCTAAATGCGACATCCGATTATGTACTGTTATCTAGTGAGCTTAGGATTTCATCTATACGAGCTCGCAAATGTAGGCCCACATACATCGACTCTGTCGCTTCCGAGGGCGTATTTCAGGGAAAGTACAGTCCTTTCCATGTTGATGACACCTTTTAAAGATTGGATTTCAAGTTAATATAGGTCCGACCCCTAAGGAAATTAAGCTATGGTAGAAAGAGTCGAACCTATGGCAGACGCTGGGCTGCTCGCGACTGGCAACACAGCGGAGCTTTTTTGACTTGCATTCAGAGCATGCACGCCGCGGTGAAATTGTCTTCTCCATGGCAGAAATACGGATCAAGAGCCTCCGATACGTATGTTGGCTTGGGAACAATGAAAGGAGCAGAGGTTGTTACGTTCGACTCGGCCAAGGAGACTCAATGGCGCCGGTTCCGAGCACTGGGTCACGTGTAGGACCCGCTTTCTTCGGCCTCGGCAACAGTTTAAGCTCCGAACTCTATTTTTGCTGAGTATCACAACTGCCAGGGCTTTGATATCACGTATTCTTCTCGGAGTATGTATAAATTAACGTCAAAATGACCGATATTGAATCAAAGTTTTGTAGCGGAAAGTACACTATGTTTTTCTATTTATATTGCCCTAGGCCCTTTTGTTCAAGGGTTAGGCGCAATATATATTTACAACCCCAGCTTCAACATGGGTTTCACTCCATTCAGCAAGACGCTTCACAGCCCGAATGACTCCCATAAATACGCATTGACGAGACGACCATGGCGACTCAATGTGACAGATTTCCAAACGATCATTGACTTTCCTTATCGTGGTAACGGCACGTCAGACGACCCATACATTGTGGAGTGGCTGGAGAATGACCTCGAAAACCCTAAGAATTATAGCGAGGTCCTACGATGGAGTACCACGGCATTGATAGCAACCATGACACTTTGTGTTGCCCTTGCCTCGTCTGCATACTCGGGCACCGTTGGCTCGCTGCTCGCTGAATTCAAATGCAGCCATGAGGTGATTACCTTGGGTCTTTCGCTCATGGTCCTCGGATATGCCGTGGGACCGTTGCTGTGGGCTCCCATCTCAGAGTCCGTTGGTCGCCGCAATATCTTCCTCCTTTCTTATACTGGATACACGATTTTTACCGCTGGTTGTTGCGGCTCACAAAACGTTTGGACTCTCATTATCCTCCGTTTCTTCACTGGTCTTTTTGGATCCAGTGCCTTATGTATTCCCGGAGGTCAAATCGCAGATATGTTTAAAGCGGAGCTCAGAGGACTTGGAATTGGCGTCTTTTGTCTTGCACCATTCATTGGGCCGGCTCTCGGTCCCATCATTGGTGGGTTCCTAGGCGATGCAGCTGATTGGCGTTGGGTTATGGGCCTGTTGGCTATATTCGGGGCGTTGTTAACATTGATGGCATTCATCTTTATGCCTGAAACATATGCTCCGGCATTGTTAAGAGCACGCGCTGGGCGCCTGTCGCAAGCCACCGCAAAGGTTTATCTGACTGCCGAAGATGCGAAGAACCCAATCATTTTCAAGGAATTGGTCAAGCACGCGCTGCTTCGGCCGTGGGTTTTACTATTCCGTGAGCCTATTGTTTTTAGTCTGACGGTTAGTAACTTCCTCTCGCTTACTCCAAAGTTTGGTAACCACTAACAGGTCTACGAAGCTCTACATGTCAGCCATCTATGGCACTCTTTACTTGTGCTTTGCTGCATTCCCAATCGTGTTCCAGGAAAACCGTGGCTGGAATGCCGGCGTTGGAGGCCTCGGGTTCACAGGCGTCTTGGTAGGCTTAATCGTCGGAATCCTCATTATTTGCTGGGATAACAAACGATACGTCCGGATCTACCGTGCAACCGACGGCTTTGTACCTCCAGAATGTCGTCTACCCGCAGTCATTGCGGGTGGAGTATCTATTGTTGTCGGGCTAGCCTGGTTTGCCGCCACCGACTCTCCTCATATCCATTGGGTGGTTCCAATCATGGCCGGAGCTCCGTTTGGTGCAGGATTCGTCATGGTGTTCATATGCTGCGCCAATTATCTGTAATATAACCGCTGTTTCTTAACCCCCGGTACCTGGCTGACTCTCTATCCTTAGTATTGATGCGTACGTGATATTCGCCGCCTCAGTACTTGCTGCCAACTCCGTGATGCGGTCCATCTTTGCTTGTGTCTTCCCTCTGTTTACCACCTACATGTTCAATGTACGTGTAAGATATGGCGCAATTTGTGATATCGCATGCTAACAGGATTGCAGGACATTGGGATCCACTGGGGCGTAGCCGTTCCTGGATTTATTGCACTCGCCTGCCTTCCGTTCCCCGTGTTGTTCTATATTTACGGTGCAAAGATCAGAGCGCGTTGTAAATACGCTGCACTAGCAAAAGAACATCTCCGGAGCACTAAAGTGAACGGGAACTTGAGCTCACAACCCTCGACTGAGTTTGAAGAAAATGCGATTACCAAAGTGTAGTGAACATTTGAGCATATCCGAGTCTGAACATCAAAGGGCATCATGATTTACATTGGTTTCAACGAGCCCGGTGGCTCAGTGTCCATTGCTAGGATATTTGCTTAGGGGAATTCAACCCTACATGGACGGTACGTAATATATTAAATAGACAGTTATAAAACGGTTTAAAACATAATTTACCCCTGAAATTGTCACCTGATGTAAAATGCATCAGATATACACAAACGTAGTTATGTACATAACCCCATTCTCCACCATCTATATTGCGTTTATGTAAATAAAACCTAGGAGATGAAAAATATTTAATCAAGCAGCTCAATCACAGTCCAGGTGACAGTTGTCAAAATCTGACCCCCAATCTTTTCCATGACCCTCCGACTCGCGTTATTATACCCAGCCACCTCGGTATGCGCCCAAGCTCCAACACGCTCTCGAGACTGACTATCCTCGGGGTTGACACTTCCAGCTCCAAAAACACCATCTACCGCCATTCCACGGCGCATGATGGCCTTAGACAATGGAACCGCAAGTCCTCGGCCCCGATGCTCTGGCTCAACATGCAATGTCGCCAGCGCTCCATCCACACCCAAGAATCCCCATGCAATAGGCATTTCATCAGCACCACTAGACGTAGAATCCAAATAAATCGCCATACCGGGCATTTGAGATAGCTGAGTCCTTGGCCTAGGGATATGTGTCCGACTCTGGACAAGATCCAGATGCTTACTCAGAACACCCTCTCTACCCTCTCGGTCATGGAACCTATATCCGGATGGTAGGGAAAGATCGGCGAACGGCAGATCGGCAGATCTTCCAGACTCTGCCTCGGGGCTGAACTCAGATCTCCGGAAAAAGTACTTGTAATAAGGCGGATCATCGAAGCGATGGACCCGGATATTGGGTATCGGGTCAGATAGGGTGTAAGAGCCCGATTGCTGTAGAAGAGAGAATAGACCTGTATGAAGGCTGCCAATGAGAAAAGCATGTGGATCCGGCGCGGGGATCAGGGGGACACTAGTGGGACTGGTGTTGTTTGGGGTCGCCGAGGATGTCGATACAGGAGGAGTTGTTTCAGCTGCCACGGAAGTGGCTTGGGCTGACTTCGCCAAATATGATAGGTATGATGGCAGCAGATTGGTCTTGACATATTCTAGCAAAGCCAATAGCTGCGCGCGGGCCAGGGCTAGGACGGGTGGGTTGGCGGAAAAGACGGAAACAATGGATTTGGTGGTGTTGGTATCAGCATTGTTGGCCTCATTATTATGATTGTTCTTGCTATTATTGGATGTTGAGCCCACATTTAATATCTCCGTACTATCGCTGACAGGGGCGATCGGCGGAATTGACGTGTGCTCCGCTTCAAGGCTGGAGTAGATGATCACTTGTGTTGTGCGGCCAGCGAAAAGATCCACTCGCGCAGCCAGCCATGGCTGTCCAGGCTCAGGGGTTAAACCGGGCGGGAAAGTTGCCAGTATGTGGGCGGTCTCATACGGATACGCGATTCCATGTTGGATTCGCCGGAGCAAAGTCGTGGAGTATGGCAGTTCAGATACGAGTGCCGGTATTATTGTGGCTGCATCGTGCTCGTAGATGCATATCGCCATTCCGATCGTGGATGTGTTGGGTTCCCGGGAACCTGGATTCAGGGGAGGGGCTGGATTTCTACACGGGTCGATGAATGGATCTCAAATAATAAACTTGTAGAAAAGACTATTGATCTTCAATTTATTCGCAAGTGACAGGTTGACAGTCATGAGGGGGGTCGTGAGTCAGAGACTTGTGGATTCCTACGACATGGTTAAATTGTGTCTAGCTAAGTCTGGTTAGATACCTGACTTGAGGATATTCGATTAATAAACCACGGAGTCCGACGCATGAATCGCTACTTCTCCGAGTCGCTTAAGTATTTGTCACTTAGGTTAATCTCCTTGGTCTGTGGCTGTGGCGGTGCGGCACTATCGATTCTGACGCAAGACCCGCGGGCGATCTCTGTCAACTCTGCATAAGCGTGCGAGACGAAACGAATTATTTTTTAACCCTTTTGTATTTTTATTTTTATTTTTTTTTAAAAAAACGTGCTTATGATTCTGTATTGCTATGTTGTAGGTTTGCCAAAACTTTCCCCAGGACACATAGAGTGAAAAAAAAGGAACCGCCTTGTCATTATACTCCACTGTGATATGACATCACAAGCACTATATTTTTGGGGGGAACGAGAAACATAGGAAAAAAAAAAAACGAAAAGAAAAAAGAAAATTCGTGCCTCATGACCGCGGCATCCTACCAGGGACTGCGCGCTCCGACCATCCAATCCTCCATTGCCAGCCATTCGCTCCACCGTGCTTCGGCTACTCGAATCTCATCCTCCGAGGGGTCACGCAGGGGCCTCAAGAAGGGAGTCTCTTCATCTGGAGAAATGTCGTAGGCAGCCTTGGTAGATGCCCACCCACTGCTCTTAGCCGTGAACATATAGTTCACCCGTTCTTGTTTGTAGATACAGCCCACGCCAGCCTCCCAATCACCACCGAAGAAGCCTTGCATAACCGTCGGTGAGTCCTGTGCCGTGACAATTAACCGTCTAATATATGGCCGTAGCGAAACAAAAGATGATGGTGTAGATCCAGGCATGGGTGCGCTAGATTCGGAAGGTCGCTGACAGGGTAGTCGAATATTGATGAACGCGGCAATAGACTGCACTTGGGGTGTGTGTTGGCTATAGTCGACGAAGTGCTGAACACAATTCTTGTAGTGTGGGAACCAGCCCGTGGGATCCACGCGACCAAACTCGGCGTCGCTCAACACCGACTGAGCCTCTGGGTTGGTCATCCCCTCTTCATAAGAGCGGTCGCGCCTATCCGAAATTCGTTCAGCGTCTCGTTCGACGGATCCTGGAACAAGGGCAAAAAGTCTCAGAATATTGATCATTGTGTAACCGGTGCAATAAGCAAGACCGGAGTAGAGGGAAGCCAGGGAAGTGATGGAACAAGGAACTCACTTTGAGCGAGTTGTTCGCGAGAATAAGGATCGCGCATATCGATATGCTGAGAGTTTTCCCAGCACTCTCTTCCAGAACCCTGCATGCTGAGTGACATGTTCGACAGTCGACATATGTTGTTGATAGGATGCACAAAGTAAGAATGTTTGAAACTAGAAGTGGATTTAGACCTGAGTTGGAATAGTGTATAATTCTGGGGGAGGCGAATGCCTTATAGCTCCGCGACCCAGCGCGGACGGGGAAGACCGAGCCATCAAGGGTGCCCAAAATCGATAACCTGTGAAGATCAAGGGCGGACTAGTTCGGCTTTTCGGAGGTGAAGGCAGGGTGGGGTGGATCTGGGAAGCTATCGAAGAGAAACCAAGCTTGAGCCACAGATATTGTCACTAGCCACGGTGAGCCACGGTTTGAGCCACGGTGAGACCGAAGTTGTGGCTCGTGCGCTTATCCTCAAATAGCAAGGGGTATGTGGCTGTGTCCCGAACCGACAATGGAATTGTCCACTAGTCTCAATCAGGCAGCCCACATGGTCGATCTAGATCACTTACGGAGTAGTGTGTCAATAGTTCCATACATTCGAGGCTAGTCTCTCGCACTATCTCGCCCTAGATCACCCTGAAATGATTTGGAAGCCCTCACAACTAGCGGAAGATCAGTGATCTCAACTTGCCCATACTTTTTTAGTGTTTAATCTTCTCTAACATACGGAGTACTCGCTTAGGTAGTCTCTGTTCGTGACCTGTGCGGCATGGCTGACACTTCAGGCTCCACTCCTCCAAATAATAATTAAACAGATTGATAGTTATTCATTAACCTTGAGATGTAGGATCCCGGATCTGTTCGGGGGGTGGATCTCATATCACATTTGGAATCCATGGATCTGCGAGTTATTCTCTGGGTTTCCATGGTCTAATCTATTCCTATCTATAGCACATGTTCTTGGACTCCATAAAAGAAAATACAAAATAAATCAACAACGTGGAACAAGAAAAAAAAAAAAAAAAGGATGCAAGGGGGGAAAGTAGAACGAGATGGCACAGTTCGTGGGTATATGCAGGGATGATCCAAGTTCAAACGAGTCCTCGTATAGAGATTTAACCCATATCGGGGACCCCGACCGATCGGCCTTGACGCTCAGACAGCCCCTCCACCTCATCCAATGAGAATGAAGCCATTCACCTTCATCTAGTCTGAAAACCCGACTACCCGGGTATAACAAAATCCAATCTATGAAAAATCAAACTAGGCTACTAGATGCGGATCAGCTTGACGTCTGATCTCCCCCGCTTCCAAATCTGCGGCTGAGCATTTCAACTTGATTTAAATGCAGGCTGGTTCGCTTCTGGTCAAACCTGCATCTCAACACACTCAACACACTCACAGATTTGAATCTTTCTTAGGGTTTCGTGATCAAGTCGTCATCTTGCATATACGACTTTGTGTGATATACAAAAACAACCACTTCAACGCAATACCCACCCACTTCCATACCCACCATGAGTTACAAGACCAACTATGAGCTTTACGTGAGTGAAACCTATGCTTGACTTATAAGTCAATCAATCTAACTTATATGTTTTTTTTCAGTCTCGAGGAAGCATCGACAGCAGACGGTCACCCCCGCCAGATGAGCTTCTCTCACCATTGGCAACACTCTACCCGCATGTTGCAGCCCTGCAGCCACAATATAATCCCAGCAACTGCACCTTCACCGGTTACCGTGACACGGGATATTGGGCTGCGGCCTACACAACACAGACCATCGATGATTCCATGTCCATGCGTCGAATTGGTAAGCTTAATCCTGTCTCTATTATTATTTTTTCCTTCGGTCGCGTTTAGTTCTAACATTGCCCTAGATGGCCGACCATGCCGATTTGTTTCTAAACTACGCCGACTCCTCAGTCGAGACGATTTAAAAAGTCGTCGAGGATCTCGGGCGACTGCTCGAACTGCATGAACTGCATCTCTTTCATTTTTTTTCTTCTTCTGTTCCCTTGGCGATCTACTCGAACAATATGCAAACGACCAGCGATTCACTTCTCGACATCCTATTGTCCTCTTATACGAGGCTACTATTTTTTTGAACCTTTTGATACTCAGCGCCAAGGCCTCGATAACCACGACTTCGCATCCACCTTGTTTTCTTTTGTTTGACCTTGGTTTCCATTCTTCCAGGCGTATCTCTTTTTTTGCTCTGTTTTTTTGGGCAAGCGACATTACAGCGAGGAGTTCTTTGGCACACATTGGCAACATATGTACATTGGGGGCTACATCTTTTCTATTCTTGTGACTTCATTTTATTGCATATATATTTTCTCTCCATGTATATAAAGGCAGATTTGCCCACAGATATCAAGCAAAAGACCGATTACAGTCCACCTTTTACCAAGAATATCTACTTTTTTTACTTGACTAAGAAAATCCTCAAGTCGTAATCCATATAATTCTACGTCGGCAAGGGGCTGTTCTAAAACACGTTTTTCAATCAGGCAGTTACCAGGTAATCGGGGCCCAGTGCCCCTTGTCCACATGAGTAGGAGAAAGCCACATGCCAATCTTGGAAGCAAGGCACCTGAAGCAATGACGGCATAGAATATTTGCTTTTTCTAGAACCATAGCCTTACGGTTCCCAATCCCACAGTAGTATTCGTGACCCCTGCAGTCCCGGAGGAAAGGAACAGGATCAGTACAGATGATGTAACTGGGTTATCTAGCTGGAGGTAGGATCGCCGAGGGCGCAAACGCGCCAAACCCCGATCACTTGCATCAGGCCCCGGTAAACCGCTGATCACTACAAACATTATCACCTCAGCAAGCAATGATCGGCGAGCTCCACACGCCGATGGAGTTCTAGCCCGTGTGGGTGTATAGTGCTTTTTGTCACATCACTTCCAGTGGTGACCCAGGTTTCCATCAAGACTTTTGGATTGGCTCTTGCCATGGTCCTGCCGGGTCTAGGAACTGGGGGTATGAAGGCCACCGTCTCCCCGTTTATAGGTGATCAATATATTGTTTTCACTCCGTAATTATAATTACAGCCCTGGAGCCTTAGAACCCGGGTGATCGTTATCAATTATTTGTGGAAATGGTGAGGTACCTGCAGGTATAGGCAGATATTGCAATCCCAATATTGCCATGACCTAACGTTCAGGCACGAGATGCTTTGTTCTTGCAGAACTATATGATACAAGGTTTCAGGGGTGATACAAGGTACATATGCATGTACTGCCGGGATTTGAACCTTGTTGTCTATCTATGGAATCTACTTCCCTGAATATTGGGGAACTCCCACGGCCAGACGTTTAAAACTAAGGGCCGACCCGTGTAGATCACATGGCCCCCCACAAGGTATTTGAAATATGTACCTCACGCGTGCTTTGGGCGCAACGTTGTGCATTCGTTATCTTTCTCTTCCATGTTTGCTTTTGATTTCTTCTTTTTGATTATATTGACGCTAGGGCGGATCGGGAAGGACCATCGCATTGCGCCAGGGTGAGAGTAAATGCACCTGACGGTATATCTTTTTTAGTTTGAAGAAATTGAATGACAACGAGATAGAGGCTATAGGAGCTTTGGATTATTGGAATAAGATTGTAGAGAAGGGTCCATACTGGCAGTCATCAACTGCAATCAATATAGCACCTGGGCAAGGTGAGGATACTCCAGGATCATCGCTATTATTCTTCGCGCTCTTCGCGCTCTAGCCTGCAACATACCGGTTTGGATGCAGGGGCCCGAGGCCCCAGGGGTAATCTAGTCTGATTAATCAAAACAGGATGGCTGCATGACTTCCACGAGATCAGAGCATCGTTCAATCAGAATATAACAATGATATAATAAGAATGAATACACCGATAGTGTTCCCGATCGGGCTTTCCTATGACGTCAATGGGTCCAATAACAAGTTGATCGATTATGGGTTTAGCTCTACCTACGTGGAATCAATACCTGCGCCACACTTCAAGTAATAGTATCAAAGGTAAATAGTAGGATCTTTACCCTGGATATAGATCTGGAAAGCCATAGAATAGGAGAAAGTAGTAATCGTATTTAGTACGATTGGGTAAGTATGTAGTATGATTACCAGTAGTTATATACAAGTTATGTAGAATCCCGGAAAGTATCCTTGATTATACCCCCTTTTTTACTTCTTTCGTTCCGGTGATCAGAAAAACCCGTGGATTACCTATAATGTATCACGTAGCATAAGGCAACAAAGTACCGAGTAGTCGGCATATGTGAAAGAAATGTGAAGAATCATAGACCGACGCCCAATTACCGATCAACGCAGCCGCGCCACCTGGGCAGAACTCTAACATTTGTCGCCCCACCGCTCTCCCCGCGCCCATTCCCCCGGACTGCCCCGGACTTGGACCAAAAAAAGATTTTTGTTCAAAAATGTCAACTGAATATCCTTTAGCAGGAAGCCCCGAGATATCAGAATCCCCAAAATACGAGTGCTCATTATGCCTCAAGCGGTATAAGCGACGTGAACACCTATTCCGCCACATCAGCTCCCATACATCACAGCGGCCATACCAATGCAATTCATGCGACGGAGCTTTCCAGCGCGCTGATGTTTTGAAGCGACATCTGCGGACCTGTGATGGCGGCACCTCGAGAGCAAGCACCCGAAGACGGGCTTGCGATCGTTGCGTTCGTCAGAAAAAAGCCTGTAGTTCCCATCAACCATGTCACAGCTGCTCCAAAAAGGGTGCCCAGTGTTGGTATTCTACAGACACAGGGTCTTCATCACGACTAAGCCAGCGCAGCCCAACGAAAGATCCGCCAAAAGATCAAGACCTGAATACCCAATTCACGGATCCACCGCCACCGCCATCGACATCGACATCTAATACAATGATGCCGTGGGGCTTCACTATGGAGGACTTGCAGAACTTTGGTACAAGTCCGACCAATACCTTCTTTGATCCTGTTCCTATGCAATACACCAGTCCAAATTGGCCGGATTTTTCGGCATTACCTTCCGAAGGCCCGGCAGCTTTCGAAACACCTGTTTCTAGTGACAACCCCCGGAAATCGCTGCACTTTCTGGACAAATTTACTAGCAACACGGGTCTAGTGTCAAGCTTTGATTGCGGCACCCATGAGCAAAGAGAACAAGTCGCTGCCAGCGTAGACCAGCAAATATTGTCTGAGTTACAGCAGAGAATAATGTCAACGCCGGCCTTAGGCATGGATATTCCATCTCCTTTGATTCTGGAAAGTAACAGTGATACAAGTTCAACCAGCGAATTACCACTGGATTGGTTCAATGACCCACTTTCCTTGAAGACTCATGAGATTCTTCTTTTAGTCGAAGAAGTGGTCACGGTCAAACCGCGCAACAGTTCCGTCACCTTGGACTGGTCATCAGCACTCAGGGATGCCTGTCTACAATTCTTCTCTCCTTCGAACATAAGAAGGTTTCTGGGATTTTACTGGGCAATATGGCATCCTAATGTGAACTTTGTGCACCGGCCTACCTTCGACATGCTGGCAGCGAAACCAACAGTCCTAGCTGCAATGGCTCTAATCGGTGAGACAGCCTCCTATTGTAAGGCCTGGTAAACGCTAATTATTGAAAGGTGCTTGCGTATCACCAGATATGCCTGACAACGAAGATGCGCGCACTTGGTTCAACTGTGTGGAAGAAATGGTTTTCATTGACGACGATTTCAACAGTGATCTGACCTACCAATCATCTGGCAACATAGCTATTCAAAGACGCAAGATTCAGGCTGTACAAGCAGCCTACATAGTATGTCTCTATCAGAATTGGGAGGGTGCGGATGCTAGCAAGAGTCGCATTCGACGTTACCGTTTTGCTACTCTGGTATCTGTAAGTGTGCCTTTCAGTCTGTATCTCATCAGTGTATTAATGTACCAAAGACCGCTCGTGATATAGGCATTACGGCGGCGAGACATCTGAACTACAGCGAGCTAGGCCGCCATGAGTTCGAATGGAAAGAATATGCAGCTAGAGAGGAACTCATTCGGTAAGTCTCAATATTGCGCTTGAAGAAATAGCCACTGATACTCTCCCAAACCATAGTCTATTCACTTGGATCTTTTTGCTAGATTCAGCATTCGTCATTTTTAACAACCTCCCTCCGCGGATGGTCATCAAAGAAATAAGGATGCATATGGCAACACCGGAAGCTTGCTTTCAAGCGACAACGGCAGACCAATGCCACCACCAAATCCAACTCTTCCTGCCTGCAAGAAGTCTATACTGGACCACTTCATTCCGTGGGTCCTTCGAGTCACTATGTAAAGACGATTTATCCGTCAATATCCGCGACCTCCTCGCTACCCTAGGTCCATTAAACTTATTCGCATTAACATCAGGTAAGCTACAATCCAAAACTACATGATCCAACCTTGCTAATACTGTAACCATTAGCAATCCATTCACAAATCTTCCAGTTCCGCAGCGCGGTAGGCAGCTTCCAACTCCGAGCCCCGATACAAAATGCACTCAGAAACTGGCGAGACATCTGGCAGTTGTTCTCATCGACGTTCCCCCAAGGAATCACACCACATGTGACAATCGAAGACCCTCAAATTCAACCCGAGGAGCTCTGGAAACGAATGGGATTCTCCCGCTATGCCCCCGAGTACTGGCTCCTAGCCCACTTGATGGCAGATCGATTGGCAGTACCTGGCACATCCAAGCCGGAGAATGAGTTGGAGCCGCTTGACGAGGGTCCGCTGGACCCAATTCTGAATCGATATGACCAAACTAGTATGCGCCAGGTCAATGATCTGATAATGGGCTTTCAGACCTTCCAGATTTGAAAGATGGGCCCTGCTGTACAATTAAAATGTCTCACTACCAAGAAATGAGTAAATGTCATGATTTTCTTTTTTTATACATTGTTATCTTTTCAAGTCCCGGATTATCTTCAGGACACAAATCGCTATTGCTGAAACGATACATATTTTGAACAAAGGCCAAAACTCAGGTGTTGGGTAATCACTGGAAAATTCTGTTAGCGACTAGCTAATCGCAAGTGGATACAACGTTTACCTCTCGTTCTCGTGGTGGGAACTCTCATGATGGGAACTCGGAAGAAACCCGGCCTCACGTTCTGATTCTAGTCTGAGAGACTCAGACCCATCCTCTCTCCAGTCGATTGTTGTTTCGTGGAGCCCCGGTATTATTCCATCATCTTCATGTTCGGATCTCGGAGGAAGTGCAGGTATTGATGGTCTATCGTGGATTGGTTGTGGTTGAATTATTGTTTGAGTTGTAGCTTCGAGGGTGTTGCCAGACCCGGAAATCTCCACCGACCGAGCGCCTATCGCCGCGCCTGTAACCAGAAAGCTGAGGAGGAGGACACAGAATATGTTAAATAAAGGTCGAAAGAACATTCTGGTCGGTAAAATAGGGAGGCTGTCGAAAGGTTCGAAGTCCAATTTTGAAATGGGTAAGTGCCCAGGTCCCAAGAAACAGGATTTGGGGGGATGTTAGTTTGATTATATAGAGGCTTCCAAGGTTATTTTGAGTTTTGATCTAACTGTGTAATCTGCAGTTGGATTTAGCTTGGATTTAGATTCCCCAAGGTTTACAAGTTTGACCCATGAGGATGACCTCTTGGCGCTTATTGGATGATAACGTATTAGGTGGCTGAGTGGTCTTGGCACGGACTTAAGCCGACTTTATCAGCGTTGATGACAGTGGGCATTCTTATAAGAGTCCTCTCACGATTGCTTTGAGATATCAGAAAGTCGTAGGATGTAGGCTTTGCTCTTATTGTGTTACACCTAGTATCTCGGGCAATCGACAATCTCCTAAAAAGAAACTGTAATTAACCATGGACGTACCTACATAGGTTTTATTCAATATTAAATTGATCCTAGAGACTGCCGCCCCCAATGTTAATCAGTCATTGATAGCAGAACAAAAGGTATGATCCTTTGGGAAGGCAACCGGATTTTCAAATCGAACACCTGGGCACCTGGGCATGAATCATGATGCAAGTTGCTGACATGCCAAGTCCCAAGGGATCCACCGGATGGTCGTAAGCAAATCACATCAGTAAGTCAAAATTACCTTAATCCTTCTTGATTATAAATGTACATGAGAATCTGGGAAACTATTTTAGGCTTTGATTTTTGAATCCACAGCCAGAGGCAACCGAATACTTTGCGATGGATTCATGTACTGCGCAGCTATTTTCGTGTGCACTCCGACTCTTTTACTTTGTGTTTGGCATGGTCTTTCAAGGCCATTTCCGAGTGGCTTAGGCATACAAGATTGATTGAAGGTCACAGAATCGATTATCGATATAAGTTGGTGACATATGACCCGGATATCTGATATGCTGTTATGGAATAAGCCCTTTTTGGTCGTAAAGATGGTATGATTACTATGTAGGAGCTAGGTGGGGTGGCCGGCTCGCTCGTGAAATACTCGTGGACGTGATATGGTAGAAATTACACTTAAGTCCTTATAAAGCGGAAAAACAATAGACCGTTATGATAACGGTACTATACAAAAACATATATATTGCTTAATCAGCTATATCTGCACAGATTGGAAAAAGAGCGGACTTTATAGATGTTATTTTGCATATATTGTTTGCACTCGTCTATTTCTATCATAATAAACTAATTAATTCGTTCAATTTCTGTTTAAACAGTGAAAGAAATAGGGTATTTATTGATTAGTATTGGCCAAACGACTCTACCTAAAATCAACTTTTGACCCCTCCTCTATTCTATCGGTCCTCTCCAAATAACCACCTCCATTCTTTATACCCGCTTCCTCCCTCCCTCTCCTATATACTTTTAATCTATAAGATGATTCTGATTAGAGTATCTATGGAAAAGATATAGAATCTCGAGGTAACATACCTGGCATTTTTAATCTACAGAGCGACCGTGCGACCGGGCCCATCGAAAATTTTTGTCTGTTGTTGTTGTTGTTGGTGGTGATGAGGAGGTTGTTTCTTCGCCGTGATTCCGATGCGGTCCTTTGAAATTTGCTGGATTGTGGTTTCGGACGCATCCCCTAAACACTGGGTCGCGTATGCTTTCGCTATGATTGATCTTGCGGTCGTTGTATGCCCCTTTGTAGAGCCAACAAATTGGAATACATTCTCCTCTGCAACGACGTCCTCGAAGACGTTGCGGCGTTCATTTTCTCGCCTTATCGTAGGAGTGAGCTGTTCCTCTGCGGACATATCAGAATGTTGGCTCCCGTTGCTCATGGTTCGTGGAATATTTGGGTGACGATTCGGCTTTGGGTGCGGGGTAGTTAATGGCCTTGATGACTCATTAAGATGCCATCCCGCCGAGGTCACATAACTAAAGATATCTATTTCGGTCACGAAGGCAGGAACAGAGTGATCTGCAAGTCAGTCACACCAAATGCCCTTAGTAGGTCCAATAATCAGCCATTAATACGCGCCTTCTCAGTTTGTCCCAAAATAGCTAGTTTAAGGCGGTCGGACCTTTGTCAGAACTAGGCAGCTAAAACTGCTACGTATCTCCTCACTCTCTCTGCTTATATCCAGAGCCCAAGCTTGGTATTCCCTAATCATCGTTCTCAAACCCAGCCCTGCCCCCTTTCATCTCATTCAGAATGGCTGAGGTTATTGGTATCGCTTCAGGCCTTGCCGGCTTGGTGTCCTTGGCACTTCAGTCGAGCATAACGCTATTCGGCACTGTTCAAAGCCTTCGCAATCGAGAAAAGTCTATCCGGGATCTCCGAGATGCACTACAGGACCTTGGAGAGGTGCTAAATATCCTTCGAGAATCAATTAGCACCGCCCCCGTGCTTAATAGTGGAATCATCGAACGACCCCTACGTCGATGTTGCAAAGCATGCAATGATTTCAACACATTGATTAGAAATTGTTCCGAACATTCGACCGACAACAAATTCAGTATCCGTGATTGGGCAAAATTGCGATACATGGGTGAAGACATCGTTGGCTTTCAGACTATGATTTCAGGCTACAAATCCACAATTACCATTGCCCTTGCCTACGCCAATATGTACGTTTCCTATGTCCTATATTGAGGAGAGGGGGCGCTTTCTTACTAGGCACTTGTTGACTCTTCCAGGAATTTAACCAAAACAACGAAAAATGTTATTGATGAATACAACGAACTCATCGAAGACACCAAATGTGATCTTACTCTTCATCTACGGTCCATTGAGGATAGATTGAAGTCATTATCCTCTGGAGAAATGGAATCGATCAATGTTCAGATGATGGAAGAGGAAAGAGAAAGCACGCAGCATGGCCTCGAAATCTGTGATCAATTTTCTGCTTATATAGAGAGGACGAGGTCCACTTTGCTAGAGAAGATGACTCGAGATCCAACTATTTCCGAAGTGGGATCATCACCCATAGGGCACAACAACATACCTTTGTTGATCCTCGCACAAGCCTTGACTTCTGCGGAGAGAGAGGTCATTAATTCTAGGTTGAGGCTACTTGAACACCACCATCATGAACGAGGAGGACAACCCCGAGTATTACGTTATCAAAAATCGCTGCCACAGGGCGATAAAATAGGCGAGCACAACGAAAGTCAAGAAGAGGCCGAAAATATCAAAGAATCTTTGAATTTCTTTGATCGAATATCTCAAGAAACGAGCAAAAATCGAACCAACTATTTCGAGGATATAACGACCGGCGATAGGAGTACACAAGCTGTTGTGTCAACGCTGAAAGATCTTATTTCTGCAAGACGAATCATTTCGGGATCTGACTCGCTACAAGTTTTAGGACAGATGTCCGATGATTCTCTACAGCATATGCTGCGACAACGCGATAGCACTAAGGAACAGTGAAGGCAGACAGCAAAAGAAACCAAAGCTGGATAATACTGGCTCACTGTGGTTCGAAAACAAGCGGAATAGACGGACAGCGTTGGTATATTGGTGTTGGAAGGGAGTTATTATGGGGAAAGAAAGGTGGCGTTATTGGTGGTAGTCTGGAAGGCTTTTTCAGGCACATCAGTGTGCTGGTTTCAGGCCCTGAAACTCAAATGGCATCAGCGATGCTTAGCTAGATCTCTAAACTGCACGAAGAAACCCATGTTCGAGATGGAGAGCTGAAGAAAGTTCAAAACGTTGTTCTTGATATCAAGCAAAGAAAAGGAGTCACTATTGAAGAGATGCTGCCGACGAGGGTGAAAAAGCAAAATAGACCTTGGTAGAACAGCCGTCAAGTTTTTGATTAATTTCTAAGATTTCAACATGTTGTGGATCAATACCTCTGGCACGATGGTTGGATCAACCTCAACACGTCTAGTTTTGGCGTAACACAATAGTAATAGAAGGGTAAGCTTTTATCAAGAAAGCTAAGCCTTTATAATAAAATCTTCAAAGTCTTTATACCGAAGAACTTTAAATAAAAGACGTAAATTCGCTATAAATTCAACTTGGGCTCTTTCGAATCGTTATTAAATAAAGGCCTTATAGGTAGGTAGGTAAGTAGCCTAAATATAATATAAATATTAGTATTAGATAGATAGAATATAGAATTAGATATATATAATACCGTAAGTTCGAGCGATTACTATATATCCTATTTATATAGACCCCCTTTTTAATATAGTTATACACGACTAGATAGATACGTAATAAGTGACTTTAAACCGTTTACCGACAAGGATAGGTATAAAATTGAAGATGGGGGGCGATCTATTGCATGAACAGATACTCAATGCTGCGAATCTAACACGTATTAACGAATAAATGGGAGTACCAACATAGAAGGGAAAATATAGTGGAGATACTGAAGCGATTCGTAAAGTAAAATATCATCTGCCGCTGGTCAGTGGACTTACTGCCGGTCTTTGGGGTGTGGATCTAAATTCGACTCGATTTCGAACTCTCATCATTGGTATAACCCCCTTTCGAGAGCATTTCGATGATCAATTGTTTTACAATGATAGGTTACCACAGCCATTGAAATTGTGGAGGGTCTTTTCGTGAAAATGATGTACCCCCACATTCCACTCCGACACCCACCTCCGCATCCGCCTTTATACACATCCCACTCCGACTTCCGAGATCGACCAATATACTGGGGTTGAGCCATGCTAGAACACGAAAATATGGATCGAAGCCACAGTATTTATAAAGCAAGGAATATCTCTGGGGATACTCGGACCGCAATATCAATTTTTTCTCTTCTTCTTAAGAATGCACCTTTGATTCACTTGGCTGTGAAAAGAATCCCAAAATATTTCAGATGTTACCAGTTACCGCGATAGTAGGGGCAGCTATTGTTGTCCTGCTTCTTTCTCGCGTTCTCAGAATCGGACGTCGACCAAAGAATTACCCCCCGGGACCTCCAACATTGCCCATTTTGGGGAACATTCATCAGGTATGTCATAAGGTGTGCTTCCAGATGAAGAACTTTGAACTAACTTGTCGCCTTTAGATGCCATCTAAAGATGCCCATCTCCAATTTGAAAAATGGGCACGTGAATATGGCCCAATCTACAGTTTGATCCTAGGCACCAAGTGTCTGATTGTGCTGTCCAGTGATGAGGCAGTCAAAGAGCTTTTGGATAAAAGAAGTGGAATATATTCGCACCGGCCAGAGTTGTATATTGGCCAGATCTTGTGCAGCGGTGACCTCAGATTGTTGATGATGGTAAGCCGTGAAGCGATCCCTGGAGGCAAAATGATTTTCGGATTGTATCTCGTAGCTAACCAATTCTTCCATTTTTAGGGCTATGGATCAACATGGCGTGGGGTATGTATTACTACTCATTATCATTTGGATATTTGTGCTAACTTGATTCCAGTTCCGAAAAATGGTGCATGGCTTGCTTAACGTTACAACATCCAAGAAATACCTACCTTATCAAATGTTGGAGAACCGGCAAATGTTGTATCAGTTCCTGACGGAGCCTGAAGGATTCTTGAAACACATTCGACGATACTCCAATGCCCTCACGACCACGATGGTTTTCGGATGGCGCACGCCTACATACGAAGACGAGAAAATGATGCAATTGTTCAACGGCTTCTCAGAATTTGCAGATCTCAACCAGACCGGAACAGCGGCGATCATTGACTTCTTCCCGTGGCTGCGGAAACTACCCGAATTTCTTCTCCCAGCACAACAGAAAGCAAAGGACCTCCACAAAAAGGAGAAAGCGTTGTATCTGAGCCATTGGCTACGAGCAAAGGAAGAGGTTGAACAGAACACAATCAAGCCGTGCTTCTCCGCAGGAATGTACAAAGCGCAGAAAGAAGACGGTTTCAGCGACGACCAAGCAGCTTATATCTCCGGAACCCTCCTAGAAGCCGGCTCAGACACTACATCCAGCACATTATACGCCTTCGTCCAAGCCATGCTACTGTACCCAGATATCCAACGCAAAGCCCAAGAAGAGATCGAAAGGGTAGTAGGTTCGAGTCGCCTACCCGTCATGGAAGACCTGTCCGAACTACAGTACGTACGAGGCTGCATGAAAGAAACAGTCCGCTGGATGCCGACAACCATTCTCGGAGCCGTTCCACACGCAGTCACACAAGACGATGAGTACAAGGGGTACTTCATTCCAAAAGGCGCTGGTGTGATGAACAACGTGTGGGGCATTCATATGGACCCGGCTCGTCATTCCAGCCCGCGGGTATTCAACCCCGATCGGTACTGCGACGACTACCAGAGCTTCGGAGAGGCAGCGGCAAACCCGGATCCGTCGAAGCGGGATGTGTTCACCTTTGGTGCGGGCCGTCGTATATGTCCCGGTATCCATGTTGCCGAGCGCAGTCTGTTCCTTGGCATGTCGCGCATTCTGTGGGCGTTTGATATTACGCCGGAAACTGATGCCGCTGGAACTCCCATTTTGCCTGATCCTGATCGCTTGACGCAAGGATTTGTGTGTATGCCTGAAGAGTTCCCGGCGAAGATTACGCCAAGGTCACGGGAGAGAGCGGATTTGGTCATGAATGAGTGGAAAGAGGCGGAGAAAGAGTGTCTTGATCCTAAGACAAAGCAGTGGATGCAGTCACCTGTGGAAGTATGAGTTGATGGATTGATGGATTGTTTGATATGTTTGATATGTTATTTACGTATTTGCGGTGCTGGGGTTAGGCCCAAGAAGAGAAATATTTGTACTTTAGCAATTTTGACTGGATGGGACAAATCTAACTCAAATCTTCAGACTAAGCATTTTTAAGTAGCCAATGAAATATAGATATAGAGAATGCGCCACACAAGATGTACATCCTGCTTGAACCCACTTCTATCATCTTAGGGGCTGGGAAAAGTTATAACCGGTATTCGTGTAACCCGAGTTCTGCGCATGAGAGAAGAATGAAAATAGGGAGTTTATACCTCATTTGTCCGAGAAGTAAGTTTCGGGTTCAGACCTCGGCCAACCTTACACCCTGACAGGTCTTGGTCAGCATGGAGTGAGATACGGATGGTTGTGTATGGAATCGAGATATCGAGATATGTGTTAATGCTCATGTGCGGTGCTGCTAGCTCTACATTGGTCAAATAGTCGGTGTAACTAGGTTTTAGTAGCAACTATGCGGTGAAACGAAAGACCCGATGAGGGTATTATCACCGCCATATAATATCCGACCTCAACCAGGGGGAGAAAGATATTGATATGAGCCATATAACTCAGCGAACGGGGTGCTCTTCCCGCACACATATCCCATGCAATCCTTGCAATGTAAATAACATTGCTCATTCCAGGGGGAATGCTGGGATATTAGTATAAATAGCCATGTCCGCACCTTGCGGTAGTCTTCTTGAGACTCTTAGGATCATATTCTGTTGACATGCGAACCTGCAGCGATCCAGTTAACACAGGCTCCAATTGTCACACGAGCAATCGCAGGCATTGGTATGAGATAATCAAGACTCGCCAAACTCTGAACTTGAAATGTGCTTGCCTTCAAGACATTTGGGAGATCGATTATGAGAATTCGAATATTTGTGAACTGTTTCCTAGCCAACAGATGCATCCGAAGATATCGGTGGGAAGACACTCATTATCCCTATGTCCAAGAAGAGTATAGCCTCAAAGCCTTGACTTCCAAGGTTGGAATCAAAGATCAGAGATGCTGAGGAAGCTACCCCTTGAATGCTTAAGTGCAAATTCCTTTTTTTTTCCCTCAGACGAGATAGGCGATTTTCGGCACAGAAAGAAAAAGAGCCAACGCACAATGTGCCGTGTGACCAGGCGACAGAATTCCCAAGTGAAGGATCCCGCTTTTGAGGAAAAACCAGTGGAAAGGAAAAATGCCTCAGGTTTATATAAAATGGCGCATATGCGGAGCCCTGAGATTTGGTTTTGGGAAGATTATGATTGGTCGGAGACTTGACAGCTGAGAGAGAGCTTGTTTTTTTATTTTTTTATTTTTATTTTTGCTTATTTTTCTCTTTTTTTGTAGTCTTCGAGTCTGATTGAGAAAGGGAAAAAGACGGGAGATTGAGAATAATCGACAAAATTGACAGAATGGACAAAATAATTCACAGAGACAGAGATGACGATATGAAACATCGATGGGAAACGAGGGAAAATACCCTAAAACAGCACAGCCACCTCCAGATGCAGACCCTGGTCTTTCTCTCTCTTGGCGTGTCCATTTCCACCAGCCCCATGGTGGAACGGGCTCGATTAGTGAAATCTACCAAAAATCATGTTAGGTCCTCCGTGTATTAGCTCAGATCCACGTGAAAAGAAAAAGAGGTAGATTAAAAAAAAACAAATGTATGAGGCATTTCTACCTGGCATGGTAGCATTGGGGAAATTGGAGACTTTCAATTTACCAATTTATCGTGTGGATGAACTCCAACCGAGCTACGAAAATCCCTCATAGCTATAGTACGGAGTATACGGGGTACATATAGCTAGCTGGAACTAGTTAACACATGTATGTACTCCGTACTGTGTACTTTCTGACCGTTTTACCCTTTTTGATATATTCCGTCGGAGACCCACGTCCGCAACAAAAGTACCGCATAGTAGCATGAAACTATGGCCCAAGCTCCAGTCAAAATGCATCAAAATAAGAAGAAAAAAACCCTGAAGCCACAAAGCCGCAAAGTACAGAACCCTCGGAATGCACGAGCCAGTCCTAGTAGATCCTGTGGCTGTGACTACTTGGTCGAATTATAGGGTTGATTTCTAGCGACACACACATGCTTATTCCGAATAGAAAATGTAATAACAAGGAAAAAAAAAAAAAAGAAAAAAAAAAAAAAATGTTCCTGTGTCATCATAGCTGTCAGTATCCCGGTTGACCCCTCAGTCCTACCTTACTACCTTACCACGGGACGCGATTTAAGAAAAAGGTATATAAGCTCCTCCCCTCCCTCCCACTATGACCTCTCATCTTAACGAGGAATGCTTATCGACGGTCAAAAGTGGGCGTGTGAAGCTTGTATACGGGGCCACCGTGTGACCAGCTGCAAACACCATGGTTAGTACCTAAATTAGCTATCATTTTTCCCTTTTTCTTTCCCATACCTCGCTGGTATACTAATACCATACTCTCCAACACCTCCATTGCTCTAACACATAATCCACAAAGCTCTTAAAACCAAAAACTGACCTTGACAAAAACCCACACCTAGATCGTCCATTGATTCGCATCAAGCGCAAAGGCCGACCTTTCGCAACATGTACAGTGTGCAATGCAACGCCCTGCACATCTCCAATCGAGCATGCGCGCGCAAAACGCGACGCAGAGCTCAAATGTCCTTCAAAAGTAACGCAAACACAAAACACAACCAACCGGAAAGCCATATCTTCGCACATATGGAAGAAGAAAGATTGCAAACGCCATGGTGCTGATTGGTGTTTTTTGCTCTTTTTCTAGAAAGCCTCGAGCCACGGAAGACTCCATCCGCGGCATACATCGACCGGTTTCCTTCCCATTGCCCCTCGTCCAAGTCCCGGTCCGTCCGGGTCGATTTCGGGTTCCGCGGGTGGGATGCCTCTCTCAACGGCTGTGACAAAGTCAAAGTCTAGGTCCGGGTCAAAATCGGCCTGCTCGGCCTCGTCGGCTTCCTCGCCCGCGAAGACTCCTAACTACCATGATGCGGTTGGCGCAGGAGATTGGTCGGGATCGGAGAGCTCGATGGCTAGGATTGAACCGTCCAGACACACGGTGTCTTTCTCGGGGTCAGTTATGTCTGGTTTGGACTCGAATCAGAGACTCAGCGCAGAGCAGGCTGGCTCCCTTTCCCATTCTGCGCCGGGATCGCTGTATGAATATCCCGTTACTTCGGAGGCTGAGGTTACAGCTGCTGCTTTGTTTGATCCTGCATATTCTCTCCAGCCTTCTACGCTGGCTGTTTCGAGTTCGCAGGTTGCGCAGACATTGTCCATGGTTAGTCCGCTTGAAGGGGCGCATCCCTTTGACTTCTCGCTGGACCCTGCGCTGGAATTAGGCGATAATAACTTGGGATATTTGAATGAGGTCGACCTAAATATGGATTTGGAGTTGCCGGCTATGGAGGAAGTGTTTCATGTCGAGGATTGGTCTAGGTATATGTGGTCGGCTGAGACAGGGTTTGAGCATTTGGATACTGGATTTCCTCCTGTGTCACAATAACAGGAGGGGTCCAGGCTGCGAACCTGGTTAACAACTCGCAAGATGATTGATGATTATGATTTTATGGATTTGAGGTTGAAGACGGACATACAAAATGGAAGAGCGGAAAAGGAAGCGTGGGCTCGGGTGCTGTTTGTGATGATCTCTTTTACTGCATTTACACTGCTATCTACAACTGGAACAGTTCCAACTTTCATGCGGATTCAATGGAAACAACGTGTCCTATGCTCTATCCGAGACTCCGAATGGATGCCAAGCACGAATGCCCCCAATGCTCCTTGCTGATGTAAAATAATGACGAGAACGGCACTGATGACGCCGACTATACAGGAGAATGAACAAAAATTCAACAGAAAGCAGGCCTAGATCTTCCAAGGCCACACAAACAAACAAGCGTCAACCGCTTAGAAAAATGTACGCAGGCCAATGGGTACTATATAGACGTCCCAGCCTACACCTCCTGGATGTAGTTCGCTGGAACGCTCTTCGTAACACCACCCCGTTCCACATCGGCCCATCCATCACCACTATCCCGGTTGATGAGGACAAACCGGTCACCCTCTGCCATATTCCACTCCATATCGCTGCGGGCTTCGTACTCGTACAATGCCTCGACATATTGCAATTTCTTGGCTCCTCGTCTGGGTGCGACGGCTGGTCCGACACGCTTCGGCGCAGCGCTTCCCGCTAGGGAGGCGGAGGAATTTGAGTACGTTGACCCAGGTCGCTCAGGCATACTGGGACTAGCGGATGGCATGGGAGATGGTGTTGGGGCAGCTTCGACATACGAGGCCGGAACAAGTCCTTCGTTAGCTCCAGATCGCACACGCAGCCATCCAGAACCATCTATGTGATTGTTAGTATAAATATTGGGTGTATAGTAAGACAAGAGGACGTACCATCTGGTTGGAGGATCGCCACTTCGTCCCCATCCTCCACGCTGACCTCGTCTGAGCCCGTGGCTTGATACGCGTACAGCATCTTACCTCGTGGCTCTTTGGATCTCGAGGCCATGCCAGAATCGCTCGGCGGAGGGGCAGTCACATATGCTGTCGGAGGCGGTGCTAGCACCCGGTTCCTCTTTGTGGCAGCGGCAGCCGGCTTTGTCTCTGCAACGGGAGCTCGAGGCTCCTCTGCTGGGCTTTCGGGTGTGGGCTGAGCAGTAACATTCGATACCGACCGAGCCGTACTAGCCGCATATCCTGAGCTAAGAGAGTTCATTGTGTTTTGTCGCGTCAGGGACGGGGCGGCAGTGGAAGCTGTAGGGGTGCCGACATCCACAACAGGCATGGCACCAGCCTGTTCTTGTCGCAAGACCTTGAGTTTCTTCTTGTCTTCCTTGGTTTGCTCGCCTGGGCACTCTGCGGGCACCTTCATTTGGCATTTACTATGGCACGTGTAACCACAGTCCCGGCAATCAAAGCCCTTGGCGGATAGGCCCCAAATTCGCTCGCCGCAAAGATCACAATTTGTCGGGATCTTAAATGTCTGACTGCGGAAATTGTGGTTCTGGGCTCCCAACGACAAATCTCCAGCCACTGCCATGATAGTCGCTGTTTCTACCTCGGCTGTAACCCACTTGCGATCAACTTCGTGCAAGGATTCTTGGGTGTAGAAAATGGACCGCACGACATCCAACTCGTTTCGATTATCTTTGCCCTGTTGAATATTTTCCCGTACCTTCTTGCCTCCTTCAACCTCGCGCTTCTTCCGGTCTGACTCAACTCGTAGTTCGCGGATTTGAGCTTTGCTTTTACTCAGGACGTTGCGCAGGAAAACCTTGGCTGCCTCGTCGGCGATGATTGAAGCATCGTCGTGCCATACTGGACTCGGCTCAAATCCTAGGTTTGCAGGTTCCTGCGATTGAGTCACATTGTGCTGGAGGAACATCAAGGAGTCCAGGCGCGGGTTGTTCCGAGGAATTTCGACAAGAAGGTTGGCTATGTGCTCCGTGCTATTTGAAAGAGATGATTTCTCAAGTTGGGCGGCGAGCGACCACATCACGTTCATTTTTGCGACTCGTGTTTCATTGAGGTTTTGTAAACCCTGGTCGGAAGTATAAGTACCATTGTTGATCCAAGATATGGGGAGTGGCAGCTTCATCTTACATCGATCACCTCAGGGACATATTCATGGTAAAATTTCTCCTTGAGCTTATTTGTCACATTGATGCTGATGAGATAGAGGTTCTACCCGCAAGTTAGCACCAGAACATGGGGGTTTCATTTGAAGGAGCCATGCCTTATAGTTGTTCATCTCCAGTATTTGCTGTTGATATGCTGATTGTGCTTTGGCCTTGCCATGATCGAAAGCGGACTCCATTTTCTTTCTGCGAGCTTCAACCTCCTGGCATGCGCCATCGTATTTACCCTTCGCTTTTTTGAGATCCCCATATGCCGCCTCACGTTCCTTCTCTAACTTTCCATGATATTCAACATGGCATTTGCGGATCTCTTCATACTGGGTGGCAGCTTGTTTCAGAGGGTCTGCCACTTGCACCACCAACTCTGAGGCAAATTTGTCTCGTTCGGCGGCGTGAGATTCCACGGCGTTCAATTGTGTAGTCCATGTAGTGAGCGATGCGCTTTCGAGGGAGCCGGGGGTTAAGGTGGGCGTGTCGCCTACACTCAAGGGGCTGATCTTCTTCGACTTGCGATCATAGTACTTTTTGCACAGGGCCGTTAACTTGGCTGCGTATTCCTTCTCAATGGCACTACGCTCGCGGTAGAATTGTTGTATTTCGTCTACCCATGATATCCCATTTGATACCTGTGCAACATGTTTGCATTAGCTCCACTTCAAGCGTATAGGGTAATCTGACGGGTTGACTGCGGGGAAACGATGTCGGGACCATACCCAACTGTTGACCGGTTTGAAGGAATCCTAGATAAATTAACCCAGTTAGTTATGAATCTGCGACCATCACCTTCCAGTAGAGGTACCTTTAACTCTGCTCCGAATTGGGGAGCTACGTCTGCGGCCGCCATGGCTAGATTGAGATCCCAAGGCAGACGCGCATAGGATGACGCGGGAATGGAAGACCGAACAATGAGACGGGGTTGCCTGGTGTCAGCGCTCTCGTGAATGAGCCACTTGTCTTGATATCGATCAAATTATTCAATATCTCCAATCAGGTAATGTTCAATGGGCTATTGAGGCCATTCAGACAGGAAGAATGAGCTCAATGGCCAAGGCGGGGAGAAGGCCGGTTCCTGTGACAGTACCAAACATACACGTTGCTGGTGATCAATATGCGACTTGGGTCATTTATTATGATAATTACAATACCAATACATTTATTTCACTTTGACTCAATTGGGACTAGTTCACATCCTTCGGCGTCATCTGTTTTTGTTCTTTCCATCCAGAAAGAGAGCTATTGCTTCCGTTTTGGCTATTGCTCTTCTCTTGCTTGGGCCTTTTAATATTCTCCATCTCCTAATCTCATCGATAGGCTCCATCTTAACTCTCAATCGTGGACTCAGCCATCTAATTCAATTCCATTTCGAACTTTTCTTTACCCCACGACCAACCCCTCCACCTTCCTTCTCCAACTCTTTCTGGTTTTCTGAGATACCCACCAGACTTTTGCACCATGTCTGAAAATCCAGAGACTACCCCTGCGGGGGGGTTCCTTGGCTGACCGTGTCACCAAACCTGACGAGTCGAAGCCCACCGGTACGAAACGAAACCACGCCACCGTCGCTGATTCCTCCAGTCCACACGACCGGGAAACGCGCGACATCCCGGCTGATAGCTAATGTTTTTTTTTCTTTCACTTTACAGATTCCTCCAATGTCTCCGCCGCTCCCAAAGAGGATGGCGCCTCTGCCCCCGCGCAAGGCTCGGCAGTTCTCGAGGAGCCCGACTACACTGTTGCGGTGAAATTGAGCGACTTGCAAGCGGACCCCAACAACCCTCTGTTCTCAGTCAAGAGCTTTGAAGATCTGGGCCTGTAAGTGCTAATCATGGATAGGTGCAAAGGAGCGTCTCATAGCTGACTTGATTAACAATCCAGAGATGCGCGCATTCTGAAAGGTCTCTCGACCATGAACTTCCGCAAGCCATCCAAGGTGCAGGAGCGCGCTCTCCCCCTATTGATGAGCAACCCCCCGAAGAATTTGGTTGGCCAGTCGCAATCCGGTACCGGCAAAACTGCGGCCTTCGTCCTCAACATCCTCAGTCGTCTCGATCTCTCAACAGAGCAGTTGCAGATGACCCCTCAAGCTCTAATCCTTGCTCCTACCCGTGAATTGGCTCGCCAGATTGTTGGTGTGATTCAGGTTATGGGTCAGTTCCTTGAAGGTCTCGTCATCGGCACTGCTGTTCCTGCCGATTCCAATGCTCGCCCGTCGAAGATGGATTGCTCAGTTGTGGTTGGCACACCTGGCACTGTTCAAGATATGATCAAGAAGCGTATCATGAACCCTACTGGCTTGAAAGTGCTTGTCCTGGACGAGGCGGATAACATGCTTGACCAGCAAGGTCTGGGAGATCAGTGCATCCGGGCCAAGGCGTAAGTACTCTTAAACCCCCAACACTCAAAAAGCTTTCAGCTAATAGTTCCCCCTGGGTAGGATGATTCCCCGAACTGTCCAAATCGTCCTGTTTTCAGCAACTTTCCCCGCTCACGTCTACCGCTACGCGAACAAGTTTGCTCCTGCCGCAAACGAGATTACCCTCCAACACGAAGAGTTAACTGTTGATGGCATCAAACAACTCTACATGGATTGCAGCACTGATGAAGAGAAGTATCAAAACCTCGTCCAGCTCTATGGCCTGCTCACTGTCGGATCCTCAATCATTTTCGTCCGAGTAAGTACCATCTAGGATTTAGGCTGGAGTATTGCTAATCTCCGTATAGACCCGTGCCTCTGCTGTCGAGATCGAGAAGCGTATGGTTGCTGAGGGTCACACTGTCGCCTCGTTGACTGGTGGTGTTGAGGGATCCCAGCGTGACGCGGTGATTGATTCCTTCCGCAGCGGTGAGGCTAAGGTTCTTATCACAACCAACGTTCTTGCTCGTGGAATCGATGTCTCCACAGTTTCCTTGGTTGTAAACTACGTGAGTTCATTATTCATCCCCTTTCATGTTCCAAACCAACCTTTCTCGCCTTCAGGATATTCCCGAGGAATACGCTTCCGGTCAGCGCACCAACACTCCAGACTACCAGACCTATCTGCACCGTATCGGTCGTACTGGCCGCTTCGGTCGTATTGGCGTGGCAATCTCCTTTGTTTCCAACCGCAATGAGTGGGAGATGCTTCGTAAGATCCAAGAGCACTTCCAGTGCGTCATCGACCGCATTGATACCAGCGACTGGGATGAAGTGGAGGAAATGATCAAGAAAACGATCAAGAATACCCGAGCTCAGGCCGACTTTGTCCGGACCAACTAAGATACATTGATCCCTTTTCTTAATCACAACTTTCTGATTTGAAAAACAATCATTTCACATTCCATGCCTTGAAGAGTGACGAAATCTCTTCTTTTCTTTTTTGCGGGCCACTGGGGCTGAGGGAAATTAGATACCTACTTACGCGCATGGTTGCCCCTGCGGCCCATTTCATTTCTCCTGGGCTGCATTGGCTAGGCATGCTAAAAGAAGCAGCTGGCTTCAAATTAATGAAGTCAATTGCTACTCAAGGGAAAGAAACACCATCTCTTTTTTATTTCAAACTGTTTGTAGGTTCTTTTCTTCCTTTCGTGTCACTATGAATTCTTCCTGTGGGTCGTTCTTTCGGCACCTGTTAATCTGTGTTTTCTCGCATCTTCCTCAGCCTGCCATGGAACCACCTTTCTGTTCAGTTCATGGAGCTTTTAGCAATAATGTCAACGTAACAATCGACGCGAGGATGAAGCACGCAGAGCATATCGTTCACTCGACTATCGACACAGTCACCATTGCCTAAGCAACTTAGACCCCACCTACAGTTCCGTGGGCTTTTGTTGGGAATGGAAAGACAAAATCAAATAGTGCAAAGATTCCAAGAGTATATCTTCCTGTGCAATTTTTGGAGGACCTGCTACACACTACTGCACACTGCTACCACTGCCACTACCCCGTATCTCATGGAGATGCTCCCAGCATACTACCTCTGTTTTATTCTCTGCGGGGGTATCCTACTCCACCCCTAGTGAATAATGGGGTACACAGTCCAGCCCATTGCGGTGGCAATGGGAAAGACCGAGAGGGCTTGAGTGCATCTCTTATAGGGTGAAGTGATGTCTGTGATGAGATCATTGATGGCGTGGTCTAGGTACCTGTTTTGTTATATGTATTCTGGTGGATTCTACCACACCCATAACGGTTATGAGTACCTCTTTAACGGAGGCAAATTGACGAAGCCGGCCTGCAGCCTGATTCGAATACCCAAGCCCTTCTATCGCGACTATATACATGAAACTACCACAACCCAGAAAGTCTCCTTAAAACAACCACTGATTAAATGCAACCCCAAAATCCATGTTATTGAACAAATCCAGGCCGTCAACTTCAATCATCGGATCAAATTCAAAAGCAGAAGTGTCCCCAAGATTCGAGTCCGGAAGAATTGACTGGGGCTCCAGAATCTCATCAATGATCCTAGAGAACAGTTGACTGGCCCGTTGAAATAAAGCGTAGTTGGCGTTATCCGGCCGAACGATAGTTTCAAGGTGCGAAATGAAGACACTTAAATTGCGGATAAGTGCCGATCTCGACCCTTCGTAGAGGAATGGCTCGCCTGTACGCTTTTGGTGCTGCAGGGCTTTGATGAGTAGACTGGCGCTGGGGAAGCCGTAGAGCAGAACCTTTCATTCACTTGGTGTTAGAATGAATAGAATCATGTTTCTTTTTGATCGTACATACCGTCCACGCAAAATCTGGCCGGAGATCGACCATTTGTTCGCGTTGCATGCCTAAGGTCAGGACCGTTGATAGTATGTCAGCGCTCACAGACAGCAGTGCTGTGTTTCCGCGCGGGTTACTCTTCCCAGCGATGAGCCGTTGAATGAGGAAGTCGTTGTACAGATATGCCAGATATGAAATAATCATCATGAGGCATACTGCTACATGTAAGTTTTGATCCCAACATTGTGGGCTGTAGCGTAACCAATTGGGAAGCGAATCCCATGCTAGATGACATCGCTGAGAGATATTTCTGTATGGTATCAGCTGCTGAACGTAAAGTAGAAATAATGTGATGATGTACTTGAGCATAGTTTCCATCTCCGGTGTCACGTTCTGTAAAGAGACCTCGAGAATCTCATCCCGAAATGTGCTGATGATGAACCGCGCTCGTATCCATGATGACCGCTGGACTACTCCGTTGCGGCTCCAGCCATTCTCGTCAAGGTAGTCGTGCGAGTTATTCAATACCATATTATCGGTGGCGAGTGCCTCATCGCTGATATCAAGGGGCATGCGACAATCGGCGTATCGCCATGGTATTCTTGGCGGTCGACCTAAGAATGTGGCAATGCTTTTGTCAAGCTGATAAGCCGCAGCGAACTGACGTCTGCGCGACTCTAAGAGGAACTCGGGCACATCGCTCGAGGTCTTGGAGTCACGGTGGAGACCAAGTGCGAAGATGTCAGTGGAAAGCTCACCTAGTCGCTTCCAACAGGCGGGGCCTAGAATGTGTTAGGAAAGGCAAGATGGCGGATGGATTGGGCTGAACAAACTTGAGTCGCCATGTACTAGATCCGACAACAGGAGAATCTCATGTAACAGCCATATTGTCAGGTCATTGAGTGGCGTGAGGATTTTGCAAATGTGCAGTGCGGCATCGCTGGCTGCAAGCATCTTACGCGCATATTGAGATCGCGAAGTTTGGTCCTCATCGAACCTGTTACTAGCAAGCCCTAGATATCTTGCCCGACCAGCGAGAGCGCAGAGAAGCCCAATAATTTCAAGGCGGATTGCTCGGCCCGTGAATAGCGTGTGGAAATCTCGCCCTTGTGTCGTAGACGGAACCTCAAAAATCTCAGATGTGTTTTGTATTATGTTCACTGTTAGTGAAGATGTGAAATCAGCAAGATTATGGTCTGCTATGCTCTCTTTGCACATAGACCCAACCGGACCAAGGCTGTTGAGCACGAATGGTGCCGCTATAATCGCGCTTTGGCTCAGTGCATAATACTCGCGGATCAGGGCTTCGACTTTCTCAAAATCGTTGAGTGTTAATAGAACTTCGGAGATCTTGTGGACCCAGTACGGTGGCAAGACTCTCTGGGCGGATTCGACCTCCAGACCCAGAACATGACCTTCCGAGCCCAAGTCAACATCCTCGGTTAGGGGGATACGAAGCTCGTTGGGCCGAAATACCCAGAAAGCAATGGTTGGGTACGGGCTATGTGCCTAGGAGAGATCTCTTGTCCCGAATTTGACGTGTCAGGGTTGAGCGATGTCTCGCTTGAATGAGGGTTCCTGCGAAACAGCAATCATAAGAGCCCGATATGTATACATATGGATATAGCTACGAAAGTGCATTGGGGTGGTAATTGACCACTGGCAACTCGATGATGTAGACTCGAAAATGAAACAAAACAAAAACAAAAACAAAAAGTGAATTTATAATTGACACACCTTGCTGATGGAGGTCGATCAAAGGGAACTCCCTCTGCCAATGGGAAGATACGGCGACCCTTGACCCTCGTCAGGGGAGCGGGGTGATAGTAACATCGTGTGGAAATCCCACGATCTCTACAGCGAGTACAGACAGGTAATGCATGGTCGCAACGGACTTTGTCTTTGCGACATGGCTCGCAGGAGGCTGGCTTGCCATTCCGACGACGCGAGGTACTGCCGTGGGTATATGTAGTTAGCGGGTGGCATTAAAATAAGCACACAAATCATTTACCTCATGGGGAAATACAGATTCTGGGCTTCATGGTAGTGTTTCCCCCAAGGCAAAATGCAATTCAGGGAGTTTCGGTGTTCGCTACTCCGACCAGTTAGATTGAACTCCGAAGAACTCCGGAGTACTCCGGTGGAAACCGGTGGGTGGATCTGCTATAGAAGCCGGGGAAAGCTTTAGAATAGATGTATACCGCTCTTTCTATACTCTACATACGATGATCAAAGCCAAGGAACTAACATAATACGATCTATGAGATATCCCCCCCTGATTGTACAAAAACCTGCAGATAAGCCCCTCAGATAACGTGAGGAGAACCTTGGAAAGATAGGGAAGTCACATGGTGACGCTGTACTTCCCCTCCTCAAAGTGCTCTTGCCCCCTTCCATTCTTCTTTTCTGTTGTAAACTATCTTCATATATTTGCTTCATCACTCTAAATCACTCTCTTCTCTAAGCAATCATGTTGAAAACAGAACCCATTGCCACTGTCTTGCCCGTATCAACGGAACCATCTCCAACAGCTCCCCCACCGACCCCAATACCCGATACAGCAACCATATTATCGTAAGGAAGATCAGATATCTCTGACTTCAACTCTTGTATGATGCTGATGTCAAGTATAGTTGACCACTTACCCAGGCCAGAGCGGCATCGAACCCGTCCCCCTTGAGTGGGGCGCTCCCGACGCCAAATCCCGGGGTCCGGTAGTTGTATCCCGCAGTGGGAACCTCGTTAAGCGCCGCAATGCCATCGGCGCCCACGGTGGCAGTTACAGCATCTATAATGCCCTAGCTATTGCCGCTGGTGATTTGGATGCGGATTTCCGACCGGACTTCCGTAATTCTGAGCCGACTTTCAATTTCCCCCGCAGCCTGCCTGGGCGGATAAGAAAAAGATCGTCTCTATGGATCCTTACGGCCATGATATTGTCAACCAGTTCAAGGCAGAGCTGGAGGCTGGCTGGGATATCCGTCCAACTATGGCGGTCACTCGCGCTAACATGAAACTTGCGGAGATTGCCGATGATGTGAAGAATGGCCTGCTCGAGGTGGACGGGTCTATTCTTGTTGATTCATCTGGTGAGGTCCGCGTCACTAAGGTAGCAGCCGAGCCTGTCTGGTATCTACCTGGTGTAGCAGAAAGATTTGGTGTTGACGAAGGCACTCTTCGTCGCACTTTGTTCGAGCATACCGGTGGGAGCTATCCCGAGCTTATCACTCGGCCTGATCTGAAAACCTTCCTGCCGCCAATCGGAGGCCTTACCGTATACATCTTCGGCCCACCAGAGCGGATCGCGGACGAGAATGTCAAGCTGGCTCTGCGTGTCCACGATGAGTGTAATGGCAGTGATGTCTTCCAGTCAGATATCTGTACCTGTCGACCATACTTGGCGTTCGGTATTCGCGAAGCAATCCGAGAGGCACAGAACGGCGGCAGTGGTGTGGTCATCTACTTCCGCAAAGAAGGTCGAGCCCTTGGAGAAGTGATTAAGTATCTTGTGTACAATGCGCGCAAGCGTGGGGGTGACACCGCCGATAAGTATTTCACTCGGACAGAGAATATTGCCGGTGTCCGCGATGTAAGGATCCTGATCATTTAACGTGGCTCGCATATACTGACTGCCTCCACTGTAGATGCGCTTCCAGGCTCTTATGCCCGATATTCTGCACTGGCTCGGCATCACGAAAATCGATCGCATGCTGTCAATGTCGAACATGAAGCATGACGCCATCGTGGACTCTGGCATCAAGATTATCGAGCGTATTCCTATCCCCGATGAGATGATCCCTAGTGATTCAAGGGTTGAGATCGATGCCAAGATCCAATCGGGATACTTCACTACCGGCAAACAGCTGACAGATGAAGAACTGGCCCAAGTCCGTGGACGTGGCTGGGAGAAATGGGAAGACATCTCGGTAGGTCGAACCGGCTCCTTGGACACACTGTAGACTCACGTTACTGACCGTGCCTGCAGCACTAAATTTTGAGCACCGTGTTTCCTTGTCGAGACCACTTCAATTTCGGTAGTCCGTTTTTGGGTTTCAATTTGGTCAGTATAATGTGTGTACCAACGCACGTTATCATAAAGCACTTTGCTAGGAGTTTGCTAGGAGTTCACAAAGCATCGATCCATATTTAATAAATAAATCGAAAAAAAGAGATTGTTTGACTCGAATAACAAATTCTATGTTGCACTTTGGGTGAGACGAATAGCAGTAGCAAATCCCAGGGTACTCGCTATATGATATTGGGGGTATTTACGGTATTTAAATGAACTGGCACCCGGCCTAGGACCTTGGTGGTCTGATCATCGGCCTGGACGCCGATGCAGACTTCTTTCCTTATCTTTCCCCGCCTGATACACAATCTACAGCGCGAGCGAGGCCAACTAGAAATGTCGTTGTTGACCAAAGTGTAGAAACACAAAATGTTGAAAATGCAACTCCAACTATCAAGCCAGGCCCTTCCGGAGAAGCTGCTATGGCTCCCACCGACACTAATAGGGTCCCACTGATGAGCTTACACGTCTAGTGCAAGAAGATCATCTTGTAGACGCCGAGACCAAGGCAAAGCAGACACATAAGGCACGAATATGCTCCCTACAAAGGGTAAGGATGCACGAACGGGCTACATAGGCGGAAACCCAAAATTTACCTAAATGACCTCGCCAATGGAGTCTTAACGCTCAGGCCTGCACAGCCCGATCTAGGCTCCACACCAGCCCGTTATTGGCCTCAACGAATAGCCTCCCACTAGCCTAAATGTAGTTGGTGACCTCGGGAGCTGTATGTCCACCGCATTAGCCGAATACGCGGTAGCTTGGTATGGTGCGCCAACCGGGGCGGAGAATGCGTTGGAGAGGTTCAAGCCTGGTGCTACATACGAAGCGGATGGTGATTTGAGGAAGAAGTCGGTGACGCAGTTGATGGGGATGATTAAGAGGAATATGTCGGGTCGTAGTGCCATCAGATAAGATTGAGTGCATAGTCCGGCTTTTTTTTCAAGTGGATAAAAATGGATAATACTGCCGAGTCCCAGCCGAAAGCAGCCCGATTGGAAGTGAGTGGAGCTTCAAGAAGCTAGAGGATCATGACGCATGGTGGTTGTTGTCCGAATCGTCGAATGGAAAAGTTTATTCAGAATGCCTGTCAAAAATTAGTCGCGAGAGCCCGAGTCATTCTGTTAATGTAAAATCAATGCGGTCTGCAACACCGGATTCTAGATCACCATTGATCCCATTCGCCTCTTGCGCCGTTCCTCTGCCTGTGCAGGTAGGTTCCGGTGCTACCGGTGAGGCAGGAGTGGATACTAGCGCGATCAGATAAGATCATAACACGCCCATTTTTTTCCGTCGTCTACCTGCGGGGCGCCAAGACCTCACGCGATGACGTGTCAAGATAATCAGAGTGCGAAAAAGAGAGAAAATTTGGTTGACTCCGTTTCAACAAACTAATATTGTATGTTCAGAAAGGAGACATAGAGATATAACAGAGCAGAGAAGGGGTTGTAAAGAAGTTGAAAAAGCTTCCAAGGTTGGAAATCACATGAGGCAGGGCAAAGAAACAGAGTGGGGACAGTTAAGGCCAATGAGCATTGGCCATTGATTACTGTCATGAAACATTAATTACCGTATTACACACTCAAATAGTCATGAGTCAGCATAATTAACAGCCAGGATACCGTCAGGGGTGACCGGCGAGCCGGAAGTACCGCCAGCCGCGATCATACGACGAGATTTCTTCCCCATTTGGCTGCCTAGTGTATTTCGGTCCATACAACCTCCCCTGATCTTCATGCATGGAGACTGGAAGCTCAATCTCAGTTCAAAGCAATAGCTTGTATCTCCAGGGCTGTCTCTTCCCATTACGTCGTTTCCTGTATTCTCAAGGCCTACCCAAGTGATCCACCTTCCCTTTATCGCTCAGAGATCATCTATGCACAGCGGGTTTAGAACCCACCTAGTTCCTTGGGCCTAGGTGATTGCACCAAGTCTGTTTTAGTGGGTATCTCACACACCCCTGCTTTTTGCTCCTCCAATCGCCTAGCACCACCCGTGACTGACTCTCACATTCCCCTCTTCGCAACTCAGTCTTTACATCTCACATTGCAGAAAGCACAGAGTACATTCACGTCTGTTAAACTTCATTCATTTGAGTTCGAGCATTACATTTGAAGTTGAACCCAGTCAGTATCATCTATCTCCTTACCGCTGTCATTGGATCGCCGCTAGCCTGTATCGGCCTAGCTGCCTGCCTTGCCTCCAAGATGGCTGTGCAGGCAGCTGAATTCTGCTCTTTTAAAGAAGCAGTGACTTTTCTTCTATTACTGGAACTAACGTGTTCTTTAGTGCCAACCACCTAGAGTGCGTGCCCAATACATCATTCGGACTTAGACTGCCTCGGGCATTGGTCGAGGATCCAAGCGTGGAATACTAGCCAAAATGTCCGGTCCCAATATGGAGAATGATTTTCAGCTTTTTTCTTCACGGACTACTGATACGGATGAGGCGCGAGGAAATGGTCATCTGTTCACACATGCAACCGGAGAAAATGTGAACCAAGATTGGACCCAATGGATGCGATGGGATGAGCCAATGTTCTCGGAAGGAGATCAAAAGCCAATGTCTTCATCTATAGATCTACCATCTATTTCCCCGCACACAGATATGAGCTCACCGAGTCATTTGAACTACAAAGACTTCTCGCCTAATCTTCCGCTTGGCTTGATGGAAATTCCATCCGAGCCCAATGCCGGGAACAACCTTGGATACACCCAAAGCCTGCCTGGACAAAACTGCCACACCAGCCAGCAACAACATTTAGGTCTGGTGTCTCCAATCTCAAGTGTTGGGACAAGCCGGAAGCGAAAGACGGGCAGCGATGACGACGCCACCACCGTGACTGGACCAGTGCAACCGGGAAAGAAAATGCCCGCCAAAAAGCGGGCTCACAACGTCATCGAGAAGCGGTATCGCGCCAACTTGAACGATAAAATCGCCGAACTTC